TATCCCATGTCTTTGAATGGTACTCGTGAGCTATCTTGCCTAAGGTGTTTCATAATACACTAAAGAGCTGAATAAATAGTGGAATAGGAGTGTGGTGACAGTCAGATGAACAGGCATTCAATGACATTCATCTTCTACTTAGGATACACACTTTAAATCATTTGCTCAGTGCATTTTCTTTTGGTATTATTTGGTTTTAATAATTTGACATAGTTATATCAACTAGCCTTTTGTAAAAGTTTTATTTTTATTATATTTATTTATGCATAGATATGTGTCAGCATGTGAGTATGTACATCCTGGAGCTGAATAGTTCTAAACTGCCTGACATGGGTGCTGGGATGCAAATTCAGTTCTTTGGAGGAAGAGCAACAAATGTTCTTAACCACTGAGTCATCTCTTTTGCTATGTCTCAGCCAGTCTTGATGATATGTACCATTGTGCTTAGGAAGACAGTCCCCATCTGTATTAGTTGGGGTGTCTAATGGATAGAACTGATGGAATGATATGTTGTCCAGACCTCAAGACTGGATGCCTCAGTGATCCCAATCTGGTGCTGGAGTGCCAGAGAAGTCCTGGAGAGCTGCCAGTTTTCAGTCTGCATTGGAATCCTGAAGAAGTAGGTTCCAGCACCAGTGAAGGAATGAGTGATGGCAAATGGCCGAAAGCCCAAACTTTCTCCTTCCCTGTCCTGTTAAGTGGGCTACCCACCAGAAGGTGTGGTCCAGATTTAGATGACTCTTCTGACCTCAAACAATCCAGATTAGATTATGTCTTCCACCTCAAATGATCCAACCAAGAAAAACCCTTTCATGAATGTGTCCAGCTGCTTGGGTTTTCCTTAATTCCAGATGTAGTTAGGCTGACAACCAACAGTATCCCAAAAGTTATCACATACAACCAGATACAGAGTGTTTTCAATCTAGAAGATAAAGGAAAACCAACCTATGTAGAAACACACACAGAGCTTGGCATAGTGGTGCATGGCTATAATGTCAGCACTTGGAAGGCAAGGCAGAAAGATCAGGGAGTTCAAGGTTATCCTTAGCTCCATAGTAAGTTTAAGACCAGCCTAGGCTATAGGAGAAGGTCTCTAAAAAACAAAAACAACAACAACAACAACAAAACAAAAAACAAAACAAAACAAAAGAACCTGAAACCTAAAGCAAGCTAACACACACATAGGCAGAATCCCATCTGAGAGACTTAGTTCTTTCTTGGAGTGTGAACTTGTGTGGTCCCCTGTGGTTTGTGTGATTGCTTGGCTGCATGGGCTGATCTTATAGGCACAGGCAGACATTCCCATTTTTTTTCTCAAGCTGTGTTCAAATGCATCTCTGTTAACTCAGCCTTCCGGGTGACTGGCCTGCTAGTACCAGCTTGTGAACAGTTGTTAAATGGGGATTTTGCAACATGGCTATCGAGCCATTGCAGCTTGTGGAAGGATCTGCTCTGTGGAAACAGAGAAGTGGTACAACCGTGATTCTCCTTCAGCCCATCCATTTCTCCTGCTTTCTGCTTCCTTGGCCCCTTTTCCTGATCACCCACAGAAGAGGGTGCAATACTGACTCCTCTTTTCTTCTCCGCTGCTTTCCTCCTCTGCTCTCCTATCCTGTTCCATTGTTGATGGGCTGGGCCCAAATGGAAGAATGGAGGAAGGTGCTTAGGAAATCTTCAATAATGTATGCTGTAAAGTGCTTCCAAGTGGCCTGTGTTGTGGCAAGGGTCCTGTGTTGGCTCTTTGGCATGGGGTTCTAGATTAATGTGAGGACCCACTTACGGTAGTCTCAGTTGAACACGGGTGGAATCCCTCCCCGCTGCAACTCCTATCTCTGGAGGAACCCCAGCTGCTTTCAGACAGGAACCCTTTCTTGGGCCTTGTGTCACCTGGGACTGACTCCTTTAGCTTTGTGCATATTGTAGCCAGACTAACCTCTGCCTGGTTGCAGGGCCTATAGGATTTCTGACTCGTCCTGACAACCAAAAGGCATAAGTGCGTTCACTGGAGGCTGACCCTTGTCATTCCAGGCTCTAAGGGGAGCTCTCATCTCTGACTACTTTGGTCACCCCTAGTGGAGTCACCTTCTGGAGCCCCCACCCAAGGCAGCAGGCAGGTTTGATGAATTGCTAGTTTTCTCTTTGCATGTCCATTATCTCCCAGGCCAATTCTTTTGGAACAGCATGTAAGGTAAAGGTAAGCTCATGGACTTATTTATGTGCATGTGTATGTGTATATGTGTACATGTATGTACTGCAAGTATGTGAACATACGTGTATGTGTGTGTATGCATGTAACTGTGGCATGTGCTGTGTGCATGTGTGTGCATGTGCATGTGTATGTGTGTGCATGCGTGTGTGTGTGTGTGTGTGTGTGTGTGTGTGTATGTGCAGTAAGGAGGAGGAACAGCGTTTCTTCCAATCACAGAAGATTCAGCAGTTTTGTTTATCACAGGTAGATGAAAGTGGTCTCTGAAAGCTGACATGATAATCAGTGTTCACAGTAACAATCCAGTAGCCAGCAAATGATTTAATTCTTCTTCTCAGTTGACTTGCAAGGTCTTTGTTTATGGGGCAGCTTGTTTTTGTGCTGTTTGGGTTGCTGCTGGGGTTGGATTCCTTCTGCCAACTGCCCACATGCCATGAGGTCATCTGTATTTTCTCATGGTGGTTCTTCTGTTCCCTTTCCGAGAAGACTGTATTTTGTTTGCTTTTATCTTCTGCAGTGGTTTAGGAAGGAGACATCTTATTTTGAGTAGGACTAATTATCATCATTAGTTTTTGTTTGCATTCTTAAACCTGCAATTACAGACCTATCAATGTCTAGGACAACATCCCGCACTTTCTTTCCTCCCATGGGGAGGAAGGAGAATCTGCACAGCTTCTCCTACCTGCTCCCTCCCTGCCTGTGCTCAGTGAGAGTCTAGTACAGAAACCCAGCCTTCCTTTCTGAAGCCTCTCAGCAGCTCCCTTGGTTACCCTGGCCTTGCCTTCAGACTGGGCTGATACCTGCAAAACTTTTTCCATGTCTCTGTCATGTCAGATAGTGCTCTTCTCCTGACACCTCTTTCTCATTCTGCAACCCTTAGAACTGTGACATCTAATCTGGAGAACACCTCAATGGCATCCTTTCAAGAAGAGCGCATCCAAGTGCTACCTGTCCCTCTCAAGCGCTTGGATGCCACACCTATTTTCTTTTGCTCTTGTTCTGGGCGGTGCCTAATGCCAGTTTTTCTGTAGGCTGGTTGGTCCCTTTTCTTTATGAGGTTAGTGAGTTGGGGATCTGGGAGACAACAGGGGAGAGGGTTGCAGTGGAGTAGCAACTGGACAGCTGCTGATTCTTCAGCCGTGGTGTCATAAGGGCTGAGCAGCCCATTAGCACACTCCTGGCCAGCCTGTTTCCTAGGCTCCAGGTGACTCTCAAAGCCATGCTTGTCACACTCGACCATGCAAGCAACTCTGCTGGGGTTCATTTAAGATGCAGCATGTGGGGCTGGAGAGATGGCTCAGTGGTTAAAAGCAGGTGCTGTGCTTGCAGAGGACCCAAATTCAGCTCACAGCACCCATATCAAGTGGCTCACAGCAGCCTGCAACTCCAGGTCCAGAGGAATCTGAAACCTCCTTGCGTCCCTGAGTACTCACGTGCACATTCCACACCCCTCATATATAATTACATGGCAAAATAGATTTATTTTGTTCTATATGTGTGTATCTGCGTGTCTTAGTCAGGGTTACCATTGCTGTGACGAAACACCATGACCAAAAGCAACTTGGAGAGGAAAATGTTTATTTCACTCACACTCCCATATAACAGCTCATCATCAAAAAAATAAAATGAGGGTAGAAACTCAATCAGGGCAGGAACCTGAAGGCGGGAGCTGATGCAGAGACCACAGAAGAGTGCTGCTTACTGGCTTGCTCCCCAAGGCTCTCTCAGGCTGCCTTTTTTTAAATAGAATCCAGGAACACCAGCTCAGGGGTGGCCTCATCCACAGTGGTTTGAACCCTTCCACATCAACTACTAGCTAAGAAAATGCTCTACAGACTTGCCTACAGCCTGATCTTGTGGAGGCATTTTCTCAGCTTAGGCTCCCTTATCTCTGGTGACTCTAGCTTGTATCAAGTTGACACAAAACTAGCCAGCACAGTGTGCTACAGGTGTGCAGACCTTCAGAGACCAAAAAAAAAAAAAAAAAAAAAGGTGTCGGACACCCACTCCTACTCCCCTGCAGAGCTGGAGTTGCCAGTGGTTGTGAGTCACCCAATATGGGTATTGGAATCTAAACTCTGGCTCTTTGGAAGGGCAGCGTGTGCTCTTAACCACTGAACCATCTCTCCAGTTCCCCTACTGTTACTTCAGTTTTGATTATTTGTGTGTCTATGTCTATGCCTGTGTCTCCGTGTATATATAGGTGGTCACTAGATTCCTATGGTTATGGAACATCGCAGTGTGGCCAGTAGATAAGGACCTATATTTTAAAATGTTCTAAAATTAATTAAATGTCAATATCTACAGATGGTCAGACAGTGTGCCTCCTCACTCCTCTCCAGAGCCCGTTGCCCCTATTCCTGTCCCTTGTCTTGAGTTTAGGTTGGACTTGTTTCCCTACTCTGTGTTCCTCTCAGACATGGAGTTTGTTCTCTGGTTAGAACTGGAGGGAAGGAAAGTTGGTCTTCTGACCCCCATTCTGATGACTTCCCCAGATTCCCAAGTAGGAGAGGGAGGATTGAGAGCTTCCTGGTGGTTCAGGGATATGGGGATGAGGTGTGTGCTGTCTTGCCTGGTGACACACATGGCATCTTCTCTACCATCTTCTGTCTGCTCTTCTCAGCACTGCTGTGGGATGGGTGCAAGGTGGGATACTGATATGTAAGTAGCTCTTGGCAACAAGACCACGAAGTAAGTGGGGGCAGACTTGGCTGATTTCCATCTTATTTTCTGTAGACAATTGGTGTAATGCGAGACTCAGTGTCCCAGAAAATGAACCAAGCAGACAAGACAATGACATCCTTTGTATGTTTAATATGGTACAGCAGGATTTTTCCAAACCAGAGCTGGTGTCCTTGGCTCTGGGCACACCCCTTCCCAGGGCTCCAAAGGACATCCTCTAACAGAATACTTAAGAGGACTCTTGACTCCTCTGACAGTGACTTCTTGAAGTGCATATATAATAAATAAATAGAAAATATACCTTTGTTCATGGTGACACCTACAAGAAACATTTACATACACAACATGCCTTGCATCCAATTCCCAAGAAAGGACCAGCTATTTAGCCAATAGGGAGAAGAGGAGCCCTTAGGGAGCCTTTCAACCAAAGGCCCCTGACTCAATGGCAATGCTGACCAACAGAAAGGACAAGAGCAACTTTCTAAGCAAGAAAGACATTTGTGCTACCAAGAAAATGCCTGGACATGGACTCTTGGTGGATGGTTTAGGAAAGAAAGCTTTCTGTATAGAACCCTGTACCGTTCAGCATATGTACAACCTGGAGAACTTTTCCGTAGGTATTTGCTGAAATGAGCTAAGTCAGAGACATTCAACATTCACGGCCACCTGAAAGTGATCATTGCATCTTAAGCTGGTCACAATGTGAGACCCTTGCATTGATAATTCAATGAAACTTAGACAAGAAAAATATGAGGTCACTTTTATCCCCTCCTCCCCTCCCACTCATCTACCCAGAAGAGGTCTTTTCTCTGATGTTGGCCACTGAATAACCCTGTCTTAAGAGGTTGGGTCCTACAGCCACCTCCCAATAGCTGGAAGACCCATTCAGTGGGGAAGAGGCCCTGGAAGTTGGCTCAGCCTGGAGAGTGGACTCTGGGACTATGTCTCCTTGGCACCACTGGGCAGAGTGGACTGACTAAGAAAGTCTTTGAAAGAGTTTATGGTTGGGAAGGAGAGGGACCCATGGCACTCACAAACCCCAGGGAACCCCTGATACCTCAGGAGAGTGTGGAACATGGATAGTTTCCATTCCTCTGGGCATCTGAGCTATTTGCTCATACAGGGTGCACACTCTTTGAGAGACCCTGGGCTAGAGTCAACCATGCTCAGATCCTCATAAAAAGCCATTTTGGCTCACCAGAAGCACATTGGCATATCCTGACACTATCTATTGGGCATTCTAGCACCACTGTGGAATAAGGTAGCACCAAGAGGGTTCCACAGTCATGATAGCCCATGCCCAAGTGTGGCAGGCAGGATGAGGAAAATAAAGGAGGCAGGGTTGCTGCCTAGAGGAGAGTGGGCAGTGTGCACTAAGGAACAAGATGAAAAAGCCCTTTGCGAAAGATCACTCTGTTCCGGCCCTCGTCTCCCCTTGCATGGGATAGCCCCCTTCCAGCAGCTACTTCAGATACACTGGACACCCTGGGCTAGCTGTTGGGGCAGTGTGATGTGGCAATGCGTGCTGAGATTGGGGTTCACGGACCTGGCCATGTTCTTCTTTCCCATCTCGGGTCTCATTCTCCTCAGACGTAGCTGAAAACTCTAGACTAGGTGGTCCTTGAGGATTCCCCAAGGTTCTCTCCATCTCCAACACCACGGGATCACTGTGGTGTGAGCATGCTCAGATATTCTGGAGTCTTCTTCTGCTCAGCTCTTGGCTGAAGTGCACCAGAGGCCCGTCATTGAGCCTCAGGTGTGTGAACTTCACTCCACCCTCTCTCAGAGTCAGAGGGGACTGGCTGGAGAGCAACCTGCACGAGGTTCTGTACATTGTAGCTCAGCCCTTTTTCTTCTCTGCTGACCTTGCTTCTCCATCACAAGTGGGTCAGCTGTGGAGGCCAAAGGTGACCTGAGGCTGCCTCATGCCTCGCTACCATCTCTGTCCTTCACTCCTGCCAGCACCACAGCATCCCAGAAGAAGCCTTCCCTCATGTTCCTGGGTGGTGTGGACTTCCACTCCTTTGAGCTACCACTGGTCAACCGTGTCACTTCTGTCTGGACTCGCAGCCTGGTATCCGAGTGTATGGAGACCTGGCTTCCCTGTCATCTGCTAATGCAAGGCCTCCAAGTGTGAGCTCTCTCCTCTCCATCCCCTGTATCAAGGGCATTCATAGTAGAGATGCCAGCTACAATGATTATCTCTACCGCTGAACTCCAAGCACAGAGCAAAACACTACAGAGTTCTTCAATCCCAGGAAGGGCCTCCAGGAGCCACCTAGTCCCCACTGCAATGTGCCAGCTGAATTCTCTTGAAAAGGGAGCCCTCCAGACAGAGGACTCCATCTCCTCCCCAGCACAGTCCGCCACCCTGGCCAGCTCTGTCTGTAGTCCAGCTCCTAATCCCAAGAAGCCCTACCCTCACTCACAGGAGTAAAGATGGCCTTCCCTCCATTTGCCACTTAACGTGTCTGCAAGTGACTGTGGAAATCAGTGAGTGGTCCCATCATCTGGACAACCTCCTATCTGGGTTCAGATTCCTGCCCAAATAGCCATCTGCTGCCAGCCCAACCCCGGTCTCTTTGTATGGTCCCCATGCCTCTACCGATGAGGCACAGACAGGAGAGAAGCACCCAAGAGGAGATTGTAGCATCAGCCAGCACTGCCCAGGTAGCTGCAGGTAGACTGGAGTAGGGGCAGGTGGCAGCACCAAGGTCTTTGATATCTGTCCCTTAGCCCAGTGGGGCTGGAAACCAGGGGACCCAGCCATCCTGTCCCTGGCTGCTGTAGGAGTCCAGCCTGGGGCGGTAACAAGTGGCAACTGTCCTTATAACTTCTTTTTTCTCACCACAGGGATGGGAACCACCTGGAAGATTTTGGCCTTGTGTTCTTCAGTCTCCAGAGTCACCCAGGTGGGTCGAAAGCTGCCTTTGAAGCCGACGAATGCCATTTTTTCTGTAAAGTGAGGAATGGAGTGGATGAAAATGAAGTCAGTAAAGAAGCACTGTGTGCCATGCCCTAGCACCCCGTTTTAGCATCCTCTGCCCGATAGGGCAATCCCTTCCCAACTCCTGTGGGCTGTGTCCCTCTTAGGTAAGCTCTAAGCCCAGTTGGTGCTGGGATTGGACAGCTTTTTGTATGGGGCTTTTAGGTATCACTTCAGTCTCCGTAGGGTAGAGACTGTGTGTTACAAGAAAGCTATGCACAGCAGGAGACAGGGTGGACTGGGAGGGGAGAGTGTTAGTCAGAGTCCTTCCTGCCTTCCAGCTGACCTACGGCCACCAGAAAGTCTCTGTAGCCTACGACCCCACCTGTGAAATGGTGGCATTTGTCTTCAAGATCTCATCGTCAGCTCTGTCACTTTGTGGCTCTAGGAGGGAAGGATCTTCCCAGGACATGAATGACACATGGTGTGGGACTGAGTAGAACCCCAGATCTTAGGCTTCTATGCTGTGTGGTCTCTGCCCTGCACTTTGGTGACTTGGAGGTCCATGTCTACACTACGAGTGGCTGAGGCTGGAAGGCAGTGCATATCCATCACCTCTGGACAAGTGCCACCTGACACTGGTCATTGCGTATCTGAGCCTTTGGCAGTAGCATCTTAATAGAGAGAAATCTGGAAATAGCCCTGGGATGCAAGGAAAGGACCTCAGTTATCTCTCCCTATTGGCTGCCGTGACAGGCTTGTATCTTTCCAGATTTTTCTCTGGCTGCTGCATGGGATAAATATCTGCATGATGGGCTGCTGGTTTTGATGTTCATTATAATCAGGACACAGTTAGTTAGCCTGGCTCAGGAAAGCAAGGGTCCATATCCAAGCAGCATCTTACTATGTAACTGTTTGAATTCTTCCTCTTCTGTGGATGGAACCATGCCTGCTGCCCAAGTTATTTGTGAATGCATGAGCTAACGATTAGAAGTTCAGTAAGGCTCAAGGCTGGCATCAAATGGTAGCTCTCATGGTAGTCACCATTCACATGTCTGCTTCCTCTCATTTAAACCTCCCTGGGGTCTCTCTCTGAACAATCTAGGACAAATGAGCATCATGTGGATATCTATGTCTGGCTAGCTTTATCCAGCACATCCAGGAAGTCTGGGTTGGGTTTCATCACAGAAGAGCTGTGTGACCTTAAACAAGCATGGAGAGACTCTGGGATTTAGTTCTCTCTTCTTTTCCTGCCTTAGGAGACAAATAAGAAATTTTCAAACTGTAATGGATGCTACAAAAGCAGACATCAGCTGGACTTATGAGGAGGATGTAGGCCCTTGGCTGGGCTGAATGCTCAGACAAAGGCAGTTTCTGATGATGCTTTTACTGCACAAAGGGCCACTTGTGGAGAGATGGGCAATAGCTTTAGAAGTATTCTTCCGGTCTTGTCACAAGGGAATGTGTAGTGCAGGGATGGCAAGCAGGTGGCACCAGACCAAGAGGTCACTGGCTACACTGAGGGTTGTGGGCTGGACCCAAGCCTAGTGGGAAAGAGTGTCGAGGATGAAGTAGGATAATGGTATCTCCACCCCACCTGCCTAGTTCTGAGGTCAGCTCACACCTTGCTCTGACGTACCTTTCAACTTGAGACCTTTATCTGCCCCAAGCTTTTCCAGCACTTTGGTCCATTGGCCTCTGGTGATGTATCTGCCCTTCGATGTCATAAGAATGATGGAACTGAGGGAAAAGGAACTGGTCAGATGGCAGGAATGAGAGGAAACTGCAGTGAGGGGTACGTGGGAGGGATGCGGACCTCGGGTAGAACCTGGAATGGCAGTGCCCGGGCCTGGCTAGATAGGGCTCCTTGCTTTTACATGTGTGTCCACAAGCAGGACAGAGTATGCGTGAGGAGCATGCTATCTCAGGAGGCTATACCAGGCCCTGTGCTGGAGCTCACAGTGTGACTCCACAGTGTGACTTCACAGGTCTCTCTCTCTCTCTCTCTCTCTCTCTCTCTCTCTCTCTCTCTCTCTCTCTCTCTCTCTCTCTCTCTTTCATAAAATAGTTTTATTTAAGACACTGAATTTCTACTCGAGATACATTAATGTGGTAGTTTGAATGTAATTGGTCCCCATAATCTATTAGAAGATGTGGTTTTGTTGGAGTGGGTATGGCCTTATTGGAGGAAGTGTGTCACTGTGGGGGTGGGCTTTGAGATTTCCTATGCTCAGGATACCACCCAGTGTGGCAGTCGACTTCTTTTTGCCTGCAAGATGTAGGACTCTCGGCTATACCTCTAGCACCACATCTGCCATGCTCCCTGACATGGTGACAATGGGCTGAACCCCTGAAACTATAAACAAGCCACCCCAATGAAATGTTTTCTGCGTCAGAGTTGCTGTAGTCATGGTGTCTCTTCACAACAATAAATACCCTAAGACAATTGCTCATAAAGCTCAATACTAATTCATTTCTTTTGCATAGCTATGCATTTCTGTTTCTTTCTTTCCCTTCCTCCCACCCTCCCCCCTTTTCTTCTTTCTGATTTTTTTAAAGACAGGGTATCACCATGTGACCCTGGCTTGTCTGGAACTTACTATGTAGATCAGGCTGGCTTCAGTACTCATAGAGACCCACCTGGCTCTGCTTCCCCAGTGCTGGGATTGTATGTAGCATATATTACCATGCCCAGCTAATATGTACTTCTTCATTTCATGAGTGCCGGACAGCAGGGAGCCTTGGAGACCGGCTTCAGTGGCTCTATTTGGGAGTTCATAAGGACCATGTTGCCAACTCACAGCAGGCATTCTGACCTACAAGCTTAGTCCCCACAAGATCTTGACTGATTTTGTAAGGACAACGACCATGCCCATGGTAGGTTCCCAGTGGTGCCCATGCTTCTCTTTTTTGCTTCCTGTCTTTATGTGTGGATCTTTGTATGCTGCATGCATGTGGAGGACAGGAGAGGATGTCAGATGTCATGTTCTATCATTCTCCACATTTTTCCCTTGAGACAGAGTCACTGAACCTTCTGCTAGGCTGGCAGCCTGCAAACCTGAGCAGTCTTCCTGTCTCTGTCTCCCACATGTTACAGGCACAGGTATGGCCATTACTAGCATTTTACACTGGTGTTGGAACCCAAGTGCAGGTCCTAATGTTTGCACAGTAAGTGTGGAGCCAGGTGTGTGTGTGTGTTAGTGGCTTCTGGGGATGGCACGCCAGCCTCCTCTCAGCTGCAGGAGGAGTGTGGCCCAGTTTGAGAGGATTCTGGGAAGGACACTGTGTAGTCTTTGCATTTCTAGAATGGCCTCTTTTGTGTGTCACTACACTTTCTCTTCAGGCAAGATGTTGTCAATGGGAGACTGACCAATCAATTACACATTGTCTGTGAGGACTTCCCAGAGGGGTTTCTCTGGAGGACAGAGAGCAGAAGCCAGAAGGACCCAACTTGCAAAAGTCTAGGTGGGGATTGGACAGTCTGTTCTTCTTGCTTTGGGCTGTATTTAGTGCTCAGTGCTAAGAAAACAGCCTCTGTAGTGACAGACTCATGCTGGGCCAGACATGGGGAGTGAGCACCGCCCTCAGAACAGAAACAGGGTAGAAGTTCCATGGGGCTTTCAATTCCCAACTCAATGGAATTCTGTAACCACAGACCACAGTCCAGACATGGAAAAACTGCATGGGATCCTGGAACTTGCTATCACCCCCGATTTTGTCCCAATGGGAGCAGAAGCAAAGCTAGTGGGCAATGGGGGAAAATGGGAAGGCAGCTGGGAGACGGTCTTGGGCTCTTTAAGAAGGCTAGGATGGGGAGGCCCAAGGGATCAGAAAGGTGAGGCCCATTAATGAGAAAGGATTCATTGTGAACACATCCTTGCCATGGATCTAGGCTCTGTTCCAGGGGGAAATTTCCCCATTGTTCAGACTCAGAATAAACACTGAAGGTCTGTGGCAGTGACCTCAAAGCAAGGTCACACTCACGGTGGCATCTGGGTCAGCTGACAGAAGTGGGACAGGGAGATGCAGCCTCCTGGTATGCTTTACATCAGGGACTCTCACACAGGTGGAAGGTCAGAGGGGCCTTCTGGAAGCTATTCTCAGTGTCCTCTCACACAGGTGGAAGGTCAGAGGGGCTTCAGGAAGCTATTCTCAGTGTCTGTGATGTGAGCTGCTGGAATGGTAGGACCAGTGGTGATCCTGGGGATGACCGGGGTGGGGGTGGGTGGATTAGGCCTAGGCTGGGTCTGAGTCACAGAATGGAAGCCCTCCAGGCCCACACAACTGCTGCTTCCCAGGAGGCTGTGAGGGGCTGGAGGTACCCATTCCTGACTGTGTATCCACGTCAATCAAAGACTGACTGAGGCGAGACCTGGCTCCATCTCTCCGAGGAATGTGCAAAGGCTGCAAGGAGCCCCACACCCCACTCCAAACAGGACATGTCTGGGGCTACTTCTCACTCCCAGCTTCTGCGCTCTGGTTCATTTCAAGAAAAAGGCCTGCGGCTGAAACCTGATGATCTCTAGATGACAAATGTACTTTTCCCAACGTGGAATGTCATATTCTCGTGCAGGAATCTGCACATGAAAACTAAAGCATGGGGCCGGGGAGCTGACTCAGCCTAATGCTAATGTGCTTGTCTTGCAGACACAAGGACCTGAGTTTGACCCCCCAGAACCCATGTAAAACAAAGCCAGGTGTGGTGGCACCTGTGTCTGCTATGTCAGCGCTAGGGGAGTGGTTCCTGTGGCTTGCTAGCCAGCCATCCTCACCTACTTGGAGAGTTCTAGGCCAATGAGAGACCGTTTCTCAAAAACAAACAAATAAACAAACAAGTGCTTAAAGAATGGCAACCCATATACACCTACACCCATTCGCTTCTCCATACAGACATGCAAATATGATGGGAAAGGAGCTCTGAATGTGGGAAGAACAGATACAAAATGTGACCGAGCAAAACCTGGTCTCCAGATTCGCATGGAGCCAGTTCCCCCAGAGCCCTAAAAGTAAGTCCAGAAGGGTGCTTGTCTTCACTCCTTAACTATATTACGAAGCGCCTAGGTGTCACAGGTGCCACATGAATTGCACAGGCCTTTTTCTACCAGCTTGTGGCTACAGAGAGATTTCCACACCCACATTAAAGTTCAGGGACTCAACAAGCATAAGTTAAGTCCATTATGGAGCTAACATCAAGAAGTCTGATTCCTTGATGGGACATTGGTCAAGGGTCCCAGTTCTGGGTCAAGCAGTGCTCCAGTGGAGAAAGGTGGATGGATGGGAAAAGACATCAGGGAGGAGGATGCAGATGTGCTATACTTGGAACGAGGTGAGGGAGGCTACTGAGGATCCTAACATTTAAGGACACCAGGGAGGACCAGGTAGGAGGACAATGGACTGTGTTAGATGTGTTAGAATACGGGGTGAAAGAAAGACATTCATCATTAAGCTCAGATTCTGGTGTAAATGTCTGGAAGGATGATGGTTTAGAAAAAACCAGAAGGAGTGGGTGATCTGGAGGATTCAAAGATAAAAGGAAGAGACAAGGGGTTGAGAATTTAGTTCCATGAGAGACATCTAGATGGCAACCTCTAGGCAGCCATAGGATAGGAGTGTTTGGGGTTTAGGAAAGAGATCCAAGCTGGAGAACTTCAGTAGCCACCAGCATTTGGATCCTATTGGAGGTGTGGGTGGGGATGAGATCATCTCAGACGGGGGCAGAGGGTCAGGCAGCCTTCCAAGGAGTGAGGCAGCAGTCTTCTATGCCTCAGCCTGACCTATATCCACAGCGGCCATGAGCTAGCATGAAGGTCTCCCCATCCAGTAGGCCCAATCTGTAGGCACAGATCATCCCAACTGGCAAGTATCATGAGGGGTTGGGCATGAGGGACAGGGCCCTAGCCAAGAATCTATTGTGTCACCAGAAGCTGAGACATAGACTCACTTGTCAGGGATAGCTGCCACGTAGTTGAAGAGCTGCCGAGGTATACCCTGCAGAATGGCATTTCTGAAGCTCCCGTGGCTCACCACGTGACCTCGGTTCCCATCAATCACCACTACCTGGATGCCATCTTCTGAGCAGTGGTACTTCCTCCCATCCACCTGCAGAGCCAAAGCAACACAGGGATGCATGAGGGATCCTGGGGCCTCTGAGGCCCCAGGTTCTTCCTGTACAGTTCTTGTGTAGACACTAAGGACAGAGTTTGGTTACACAGATGCTCAATTTATGAGACCCCTTCTCATCACTTCCCTGTGCTGTCTGTGGGTCTGAGTAGTGAAGCCCCCAGAAGATATGCCCACTAGGAGCCTGTGAGTTTGACTTTATCTAGCAATAGTGTTTCTGAAGATGTCTTAATGACATCCATATGGGTCAGTATTAGGGCAGGAACATCCAGAATGTTTGCGGCAGGCACTAAATCCAGTGATGGGGGTCCCCTGGGAAGAAAGGTGACGTGAGATAGGCACAGTGGAGGGGGCCCTCATGAAGGTAGAACAAAGATGTCAGTGAAGCATCTAATGCAAAGGTCCTTAGAGCCACTGGCAGTTAGAGGAAGCTTGTTTGCTTGCTTCCCAAACGGAACGAGAATAACTTTCCTTTGCTTTAACTTAGGCAACTTATCCCAATACCACCTGTTATGGTTTAACCTGACACGCCCTCATAGGCTCATGTTCGAACATTTGCTCCCCGCCTGGTGAGGATGCTTTAGGAATATGTGGAGCCTGCAGGAGGTAGACTCTAGCTGGAGAAAGTCAATTACTACGAGTTGGTCTTTAACAGTTATTCCTGACTTAGTTTCTGTCTTTCTCTTGGTTTCCTGGTCCTCCGCCAGGTCAACAGCCTCTGCCATATGTGCAGGTATGGTGGTTCAAATGAGAATGCCCCCCATAGGTCCATATATGTGAATGCTTGGTCCCCATTTGGTGGAACTGATTGGGAAGGGAGGCGTGGTCTTGTTAGAGGAGGTGTGTCACTAGGGATAGACTTTGAGGTTTCAAAAGACTCCCATCATTCCCAGTGTCTCTCTCTGCCTCCTGCTTGTGGATCAAGATGGACGCTCTCAGATGTTCCTACCATCTATCTTTTTTCCATTGCCATGGACCCTAGTCCTCTGAAACTGGTAAGCCCCAAATTAAACACTTTCATTTATAAGTTACCTAGATCAGAGTGTTCTGTCACAGCAGTTGAAAGTAACCATAACAGCAGGTCTCTGTGAACAGGCTTGGGCTGTCATACCTTCCTCACTACAGTGGGCAAAAGCTCTCTGGAACCATGAGCCAAAATAAATCCCTCCTCCCATAAGTTATCAGGTTCAGTGTTCACAGTGAGGCAGAAGTAAATAACACACCCATTCCACCTCAGTGAGCAGCCTTGGCCCCGCAGAACCTGTGCTTACCTCAATATAAGCGAAGTCATTCCGAAGGTGGAAGTAGTGCTGCCTGGAACTTTCCATCTTCACTTCCAGGAAGTGATCCTTTGTCTTCTGAGAAACAAACACAGAACATAGTGACGCTGTGGGGCCTGCGTGGTCTTTCTCCTCATGTGCCCTGGGCCTTGACCCAGAGCTCAGTCATGGTGCTGAGTAGGTATCCAGAGAGGAGCTCAGCTGGATCCGAGCCCCCTGGAGGCAAAGGGCCCAGCTTGCCATGGCCACTTACCAGTTGAGCTCCAACGAGCTTCTTGGGCATTGGCACATCCACCACGGCCCTCTCGGTGAACCTGGGGTAAGCAGCGGCTGTGCAGTCGCTGATGCCTGCATTCCTTGGGATCAGGGCTTTAATCTTGATTCTCTCACAGCCCTTCATGGAGCAGAAGGCAAATTTCTCCCTCTCATTCTGGGCTTTTAGTTTCAGGAAGAGCAACCTACGTACAGAAGGAATCTGGGTGTTCCTATGGGGCACTTAGGACCTCCTTCTCACCCGAATCAGAGATGGTAGCACCCACCTGTCATCCCAGCACTTGGGAAACAGAGGTGGGAGGGTCATCTCACATTTAAGGCCAGGCTGGTCTATATAGTGAGTCCAGGCCAGGCAGACTACCTAGCAAGACCTTGTCTCAAGCAAACACATAAACAAACACATTTAAAAATCTGCTGGTCATCAAGGTTACATTCTGAGAGCCTTAAGTCATGGAACTGTGCCTGTCAGAGAGTTATATGCAGTTGGAGGAATAAAATAAATACATTTATGAATATATTCAAGAAGGGGCTGAGACTGCTGACAAACATTTTCTGAGGACTAACTACGTCATACAATTGTGAATTTGTGCATCACCTCATTTAACCATCAACTTTACCCACTGTGTTCCATTATCACGCTGACTTGTCAGATGGGGAAATTGTCTCAGAGAAGTGACTGCACCACTGGGGAGTAACAGAGCTGGGAATTTTCCCATCCCATCATAGGTCCTAACTCTACTTGTCTTCAAGCTATAACTTATTCTAATAATAACTATTGGGAAGGAAGCTGACCCGTGTTCCAGGGAGGCAGATTATGAGGCCGCCACAGAACTAACTTGGCATTTGTTATTGTTGTTCTTTAATCTCAGAAAAATGCTATCAAGTCTTGTTTGTAATAACTAATGATAAGGTCTGACTGCCTCTACACTTTTCTTTTGGGGAGCCAACTTTTAATGAGCCCACTTGGCTTTGGGCCTGTGTGCCACAGCCTACTCTACTCCAGAGTAGGGACTCACACTGGACTCTTAATAGGTTGTTGGGAGTAGTAATAGGGAGGTACTTTCTTGTGAGCTGGAATGAAGACTGTTGTGGGTCTTGTTTACTAGCTGGCAATTGAGTTTTAAGGGCATGTGAGTGGTGGCTGCTGTGACTGTGTTGTGCCATGGCCCTCCCAGGGAACCGAGAAAAGAAGGAAGCTTGAGAGAAGACCCTGACACAAGAGGCTTGGCATACATGCACACATTCGTGTGCAAGAGAATGAGAGGGAATGAGCCATGTCTTGGATTTGAGCTGTTTCAAGTCACTGCAAAGCAAGAACCTTTATTTTGCTGGGTGTAGTGGCATACATTTTTAATCTCAGCACTTGGAAGGCAAAGGCTGGTGGATTTCTTTGAGTTTGATGTCAGCCTAGTCTACACAGCAAATTCTAGGCCAGCCAGAGCTATCTAGTGAGAACCTGTCTCAAAAACACAAAAACCAAACATACACGTAAACAAAAACTATCTTTGTGCCTGGCATCAAGTGATCCCCGACTGAAATGGAAAGCATCAGACACAGGAGTCCCCAGCTCAAGGCCAAGCACAGAGCCAGGGTCATCTGTGTGTTCTGCATGGTGGGGAGGCTGCAGCGATGATTCCTCCTGTGAAATGTTGCCCATGGCCACATCAAACCAAGTCTCCCTTCTCCATCGGAATCCGTGCCAAGGACTGAGGGGCAGAAGGTGGCCTGGCCCCTTAGCTCCTACACTCAACAGTGTTAAGATACTCTTGTTGCCAGATCAGAGCAAGGGGACTATGAGAGACCACCTGTCCCACACTCCTTCTGCACAGATCACACTCTGGCCTTGATCTATAAGCCATGGGTGTTCCAGTGAGCTCAATGTCACGGCCCTGGGGTGGTGAAAAAACCAGAGTCCTGGTCTTAGTGATCCCCATGCTCTTGGAGCAGAGCCGCCAATGGCCATACTTCTTCTCTGTCACATACTTCGTTATGTGGTGACACCTCTCTTGGTGGAAACTTGTAAACCCAGTAGTTCACAGCACAGCTGAAACCAAGCCAGGGCCCACTTGCCACCTTGGAACTCCTTCCTCTTAGCCAGACTCTTTTCATTTTACCATTAATTATGGCAAGTTGATTTTCCTTTTAAAAGAAAGACAAACTACTCTGTTTTCTCCTCATAAGAAAAGCAAAAATTCCCATTGAATTACCTTTCACCTTTCTCCCTAGAAGGCTTCTGTGGCCAGCTTCATCACTCTGGGGCATACTGGACTTCCTGAGTTGTTATTCTGGATTGTGTGTGTGTGTGTGTGTGTGTGTGTGTGTGTGTGTGTGTGTGTGTGTGTTTGTGCACACATGCCTGTGCGCTTGCATGTGTATACAGGCACATGAGTTTATGCAGACCAGAGGTCAGCTCTTAGTGACATTCTCAGGAGCTGTCCATATTAAATCTTAAGAAAGGGACTTGCACTTTACCTGGACTTTGCAGACTAAATGAATCTGCGTGTCTCCACCTCTCCATTTCTGGGATTTCAAATGTGTGCTGCTGTGCCTATCTTTATTACATGGTTTCTAGGGGGCTGAACTCAGGTTCTCATGTTACACAGCAAGTACTTGGCTGGCTGAACTGTCTCCCCAGGCCTGGATTATTTCCAGGGGAAGGGACCAAAGAGTTCCCAAATGTCTTTGTGCAGACACTGTGCTTCTGTTGTGTCTCTGTTGACCAGGACCCGGTGAAGGTCAGCAGAAGTTGGGGGGCTTGGGGGGTCCTAGGTTCAGATCCAGCTGTGGTTGGTTGGTGCTATGGCCCTTGACCAAGTCCCTCTTGTTCTTCCAGTGTCTTCTCTTCCCTCCTTCAAATTAGAATAGTGTTTGTTCCCTTTGGGCTAGGGTAACATACCAACCACATTTATTTGTTGTTTTTCCTTACTCCCTTTACTTGCAGATTTAATAGAGAGCTTATGTCTGTCCCAGTGTTTGGTTGTGTTAAGTGGTTGAGAAGATAGTTAGTGTCAGGGTCAAAGTGCCTAGGAAAGCATCCTGTACTCATTAGTATCAACTGCATTGTAGTTCTCAGACTTATGGGAAGACCCAGGATACACAGTGCACTGAGCCCCATTTCTGCAGACCAGAGGAACCTCCTTACCCAGAATCCTCATCCCAGTAGTAGTGGCTCCTGCCAGGATAGCTCTGTTCCACCTTGTCCATCTGCAGGGTCCTCACAAAGGTCCCGGTCTTGGAGGTTTGCTTTAGCAGGCGATTGTGAACATCTGAAAGGATGGAAAAGGTGGTGCCTCTTGGGTAGCAGAGCCCCACTCGGATCCAGTCGCCCCTAGAAAGGAAGGTGGGGTTAGTTTAAGGGTTTCCAGGCCCCAGGGCCTTTGAGCACACCACAGGAAGAGTGGCCAAAGAATTCTAAGTGGGAAATTGTCAAAGAATAACTACTAAGTTCCAAAATGTTCAAGGAGAAAAGGATGGGCAGTGACCACCAGTGGCTGAGGAGGGCCATCAAGATGGGTCACCTACGAGCATTCAAGGGCTGATCTGGGGTGCTCTTCCTGGGTTTTGGCTGGGAAAATGGTATTCTTTCAACTGGGCTACGATTAAAGAGCACAAGCAGCTGAGGGGGCATGATAGGGCATGATAGGGCATGATAGAGCATGATGGGGGGCAGCTTCATCCTCCTTTCTGCAGTGTCTCAGGAGTACATTGTAGGAAATGCGTGAATGTCAATGTACACAGATGACCTGATGCCCTCAACCACTGCTTCCCCTCTGCTGTGGTTTACACTGACAGACCTGATGGGTCCTTCAACCACCTAGGAAAGGTTGTAACTCCTCAGGGGATGCTGGGAGGGATTATCTAGATTTGGCTAGCCTCTCAGCATACCCGTGAGGAATTTTCTTGATTAGGTTAATTGAGGTGGGGAGAGTCACCCTAACTGTAGATAACACCATTCCATTGGCTGAGGTCCTGAACTAAATAAAAAGAAGCGTGTATCTCCCTCTACTCCCTGACTGCAATGGGATCAGCTGCCTCAAGCTCCTGTCAACCTGATGCCCTCACCACAACAGACTAACCTCAAACCCTGAGCCAAAAGAAGCTCTTCCTTCCTTAAGTTGCTTCTGTTAGGATATCTTACCACAGCAACAGAAAAGTCATTAAGATGCCCCCACAGAGCTTTGTTCCCTTCTCCATAAATAACTATAGTAATGCCCTGTGGGTTTTTTTTTCCATTTACTGAGTACTTGGCAATGGGAGGAGCTGGGTGACAGTTATCATATACTCATTAGCTCTCTACATATTCTTTGTTCACTTGGAAGGTATATTACCCCCAAGCCACCAAGAGATTAGCTATTCTGCCCAAGGTGGGCCCAGTATACATCCTGAGTCCTTGGATTCTCAACTCGGGCTTATCCTGCAGGGGTGACAGGGACCAGCCTGAGGTCCTCACTAGCCATGAGGTGTTATCACTATCCCTGCCTGAGCTCAGCCAGTGCCACTGTCCTGGCTGCTCTCACTCACTTGTTGAAGTTGATGAGCCAGATGGCAAGCTCAGCTGGGGCCGTCTGGTCCCAGTGGATGGTATACCCCTTCTGCAGGGTGATGACAGGCTGATACTGCTGGTAGTGGGTGCTCCTGGTGAGGGCCCCCTCCAGGTAGAGGGGGTGGCTAGGGAAGTCGTTCTTGATGATCTTCATGCGCAGGTTGCTGCTTTTGTAGGCCTGGATGTACATCTTTGAAAACCCAAAAAGGAAAACGTACAAGGGGCTGTTAGAGGGGATTGTGTCAGTGTCTGGGTAACATCTCATCACCGAGGGCACTTTCAGAGCCACTGCAGTATACAGAGCTGGAGTAAAAGGAAGACCACATAAGGGGACGTCTCTCTCTGCTGGTGAACACAGCGTAGGCTGCACTACGCTCAGCAATCACTTTCTGTGATTTCCAAAAAAAATGACCTCTGCTGAGGAATGACCAGTGGAACTGCCAGGGGTTGGCTGCCTGCTGCATGGTGAACTGTGGAAAATGAAAGGACGAGAAAGGGGAAGAGGGGCCCTTCCTTCCCTTCTTCCTTTCCTAATTCCTTCCTTCCTTCCTTCTTCATTTCTCCCTTCATTACAGCCCCCTTCCTTCTTTCCATACTGGGCATTAAACTCTACAGGTGTTAGGCAAGCACTCCATCACTAGCTATATTCCTAAGCCTCTTTTTGCTCTTTGAGTCAAGAAAGGTGTCACTAAGTTGCCTGCCCAAGCTGGTCTCGAAACTAATGAACTTGTAACCTCCTGTCTCCACCTCCCTAATAGTTGAGATGTTAGGGCCTGTAGCCTCAGGCCTAGGGGAAGGGTTGTACTCAAATTCTACTGCAGATACAACTGTCCCTTCACTGCCTATGGGAGTTTGTCTGGGTGTGATGCCTCTCTGCCTCTCAGCCCGTGGGCCGGGTAGTTTATGTATCAGTATCTCCCAGATGAGAGCATGCTACCTTACTCAAAGAAAAGAAAAGAAAAAGAAGACTACCAGCTACTAAGTCTCTAAGGAGCAAAGAGCCAAGCTCTATTTGAGATACTCTTCTGGGGACTAGGGAGATGGCTCCATGGGTAAAATGTCTGATATAAAAGCATAAGGACCTTCGCATGGCTCCCCAGGACCTATATCAAAGCTGGCATGGCATCTGTAACCCCAGCACTGGAGGTAGTCAGAAGCAGGTGAATTCTGGGAGCTTGCTGAACATCTAACCTTGTCAAACAATGACTTCAGATTCAGGGAGGGAGCTTATCTCAAAAAATAGGGTGGACAGTGGTAGAGGAAAACATCTATTATTAACTTATAGCTTCTACATGTGTACACTCAGGCAAAAGCACACAAACACATAATATACGTATATGCATACATCACTCACACATACCCCCCATACACACCCTGTTCATTTTTCTGGCTCATCCTATATTCATAAAGTGACATCTCTGCAGCTAAGGCCAAGAGACACTATTACACCAAAGTACAATGATGTGCCTTTGGAAGGAACGTGCTCTCTTTCCCTCTAGTTCATATGTATGTATGTATGTATTTATGTATGTATGTATGTTTATATATGTATGTATGTATTATATGTATGTTATGCATGAACAAAATATATTTATATAATATATACACACATATAACATTTATGTTATGTAAGATAAAAAGAGAAATTCCAACATTGTCCATCTTACAAGGCTGTCCAATGCATCAAAAGACACACAAAGTATCATGTAAGCTTTCTGTGGAGATAAGAATGCCTGCCTTGTAGGACCATCAGGAAGACATGGCCATCATATATTTCCTTCTCCTCTAGCCCACATGGCCCACATGTCCTAATCTGACAGTTTCCTCTGGCCTCTTTGCCTTCATTCATTCATCCATTCATTATCAGTCACTCATCCAAGTAATGGCAGTAATGGTCATAGGGTGATTACAATTATTTCAAGTTGTTACACTCCAAACATTGTATAGCACTGTTTTCATATATTAGCCATGGGTCATGAGTGCCCACTGAGTCCTGGACTTGAAGGCAGTGTGACCCAGGAACCAGTTTTAAGATGCTACTTTAATTAATTTAAATCTCAAGATGCAGATCTGAATCACAACATCAATCAATAAATTTCAAAACAAGAGCAGTGAAAAAGTTTTCTTCTTATTAAATGCAACTTGATTGTTTCGGTAGGTCTCTGTGTCACTTTGCTGGGAGCTGACATTTCAAGAGATGGGTCAGTAGGCTAGAGCAAAGGTTCAGCAGTTAAAAGCACTGTCACTCTTCCAGAGGGCATGGGTTCAGTTCTCTGCACCCACTATGTGGTTCACAACCATCTGTAACTCCAGTCCAGGGGATCTGGCATCTTCTGACCTCCGTAGGCGTCTGCATACTATTGGTTCATAGACATATTTGTAAGCAAAGCACTCACACACATAATCAAAATAAATACTTAAAGGAGTGGGCTGGAAATGTAAAAGTGGAAGCTTGACGCCTATGAACAGAAAAAAAATTCTCAATAATTTTTATATTAACTACAGACTGAAAGGATAGCGTTCTGAGTGTGTGTAAAATACTATTGAATTTATTTCTCATTTCTTTTTGCTTTTTAACATGACTACCAGGAAAGTTATGGCTCGCATTATATTTCTATTCCTAAAAAAGGGCAGCAGAAGGATTTTATTTGTATCATCTGAAATCACTTCTGGAACATCGTTAAAGTTCAGCCTTTAGTTCAAGCTCACACATAAGGACACGGAGGCTCCAAGCTTGTGAGAAGAAGGTCAACAGTTAGTAAGTGCACAACCTGACACGAAGCACCCAGCGCAGTGTGAAAATCCTGTGCGATGGGAGTGAGGGACAGAAGACATAAGGGAGGACAAACCTGCATCCTTCTTGGCCCAACACAGAGCTGGACACACACCAGGCCCTCTGAGTCCTTGTCATATGAGTGTGTGAGTGATCGAGTGAGCGAGCGAGCATTCAAATGGCTTAGGGTGGCATCCCCACCTGTGCATAGCGCCCACTGCAGATGGCCCCTCTCCAGTCTGGGACGTTGATGCAGTCTGGGTGTCGAACCAGCCAATTGTCATCCTTAGTGAGGTAGGAGCCAGGGTACTCTGACACAGAGCCATCCACATCGTGGAACACAGATGTCTTGTCCCCATCCATGTCCAGCTGGTTGAACCAGGGCCCAGGCTCTCCGAAGAACACTCTGGAAGTAATCTGAACAGAGCCCAGGAAAATAAGGCTGGGCCTGAAGGTGAATGGAAACTGCAGCTGTCATCAGGCCAGGGCAAAGTTTCCAATTTCCGCTGACATTACAAAGTTGTCAGACAGAGGCTGCCCTTGGGCGCTAGAGGAAACCACAGAGCTGACCATCTCATGGAACTTGAAAAACAGTCAGAGTGTCACTGTGCCTCAACTCTGAAAACTAGTGTACAATTTTGGCTCGACTCACTGTAGGTCTGGCTGCTGTGGGTGACCTTGGAGGCTGGTCTGGTGGAGGAGGGACTTAGGAGTGAGTGAATATGAGTTTTCTGATGAATGAACTGGAGAGGAATGGGGGTGGGGTGGGTGCTTGTATGAGAAAGTGTGTGCCAACAGTTGTGTGAGAATGTGCACGAGCTTGTGAGTGTGTGTGGTGGATTTAAGGAAGGCAGCCTCACAACGAAAGCCATTGGCCATCTCTGTGACTGACCCTCAGGACCCTCAGGGGTCTGAGTGAAGAAATTAAGTAACTTAAGTTCTCTGTCTTCTTGGAGGCCCTACCGGTGACTGGGCAGAAAGACAAAGGCAGTAGCGGGAAGGAGGAGGAAGAACCGAGGAGGAGGAGGACAAAGAAGGGAGAGGAGGGAGGAGGGAAAGGTTAGGGAGACCACAGGCTACAGACAGGGAGAAACAGCAGGCCCCACAGGCAGCCTTGACCTGCTCTCCTGACCTCAGCTCCTCCATCTTCTCATGACACGCAGGAGGCCCCTGTTTGCACTCCACTTTCAGGATGGAGTTAAATGATGTCTTCAGAAGACTTCCCTTGGACACTGCTGGAGTTGTGAGATGACCTGTGCCAACTCAGGTAGCCTGGCCACAACATCCAGTGTGGCAAGGGTCTGGAGGAGCAGCTTCAGAGCCCTGGCTTCATCTCTAGGTTCTTACTGAGGTACAGATTGAAGGCCAGTGGGCATTCACCCAGACTCGACCTTTTCCTGTGACCTGAACTTGTACTTTTCCAGTTTGGGCAGACAGCAAACTGGGATATGACCCAGCCTACTTGGGGAAGCTATTTCACCCTTGTGGTGGTGGCAATAGCTCAATCTCCAAGCCTTGGGGGACATGTGAGTCATCATTCAAAGCCTGGCTATGCTAGAAGCCTGTCCTGGCACCGTACTCACCGGGACATCCTCAAAGGCAATGTTGGTCACATTGTTGTGAGGGCAGCTTTGCCAGGCATTGTTTAGGCGGAAGGCCAAGGCACTAGTGTGCCGGCCCTCAAGGGCCACGAACTTGCGGAAGGTGCAGTTTTGGATGTTGATGGGGCCATCGTAGAACTGAATTCCTCTAATCGGAAAATTCCTGGGGAGTTAAGAAAGTCAGATGTCAGATGAACGCCATGCTGTTTGCTTCTTTGGAGGTGAATGGTAAGAGCTTTTCTGAGTAAAGCCATTCCCCAATTCCTACCTCCAGCAACTCCTTCCACTGGGAATCATTAAATCAATTAACTCACTCAGAAGGCATGTATGGGCACGGTGTCAATGAAAGAATGACTGCTGAAGATGGGTGATGGATGGTGAGGGATATATTGGCTGGATGGTGGATGGCAGAAAATGGATGGATGGATGGATGGATGGATGGATGGATGGATGGATCAAGTTGCATGGTTGGGTAGAAGGATGCTATTTGTTAGGCAGATAGATGTATGGATGGTGGGTGGGTGGCCAGATGAGTGGAGGAATGGTATGGTGGACAGTTAGTTGGATGAATGAATGATAGATTGGTAGATAAATAGCTGTCTATCAAGCTGCTGGCTTGGGGACCTCTGTTTACACAGTTTCTCTACTCTTCCCATCAATGTGTCTAGTCACTGGGAAAATACTGTAAATACTTCATGAGACTGCCAATATTCTGTCCCTTGGGAGGGGAACACTGTTAGTCATTATTGCCCTGCTTTTAGTTGCTATAACAATTTAATCAGATTAAGATCCTCTGTAAGCCTATCCACTGGCAATGTACTGGGCTTGGGAAACCGGATCAGAAATATGCAGAGTGGGCAATGACAAAAAAATGACAATGTAACTTTTCAGGGGTTGCCAGAGGCAAAGACTGTTCCTCCTAGAAAAGCAAGGCCACAGACTGACACAGGGACATTGAGAAGGCTTGATACGGGAGCAACAGGAAGTGGGAAGAGGTGGCAGCAGGGAGACATGGAGGGACCAGGGAAGAACTAGTGACAATGAGGCTTCATCCTTGCCTGGCAGTGAGGAGGGGCTCAGAGGCATCTCTCCCATTTACTTGAGACTCTTGATCAGGATATTGGAAAAGATGGCCCATGAGGGACTGGTCAGACAACTTGGTGGCCTTTCTCAGGCCTGGTCACAAATCTAGGCTTGTCATTTTCTATGCCTAACATGTTTGCTTATACCCATGTCTCTGCTTATGACTTGGCCCCTTCCATCCTCTTCCAGAAGGGACTTGAGGAAGCAAGGGAATGAAGAAGTAAAGGAAGCATATGAAGTATCTGTCCCCAGAGAGAGGCTGTCCCCAGCTGTCTCTCCTCTTCTAGTCAGGCTCCCAGCTGTTGCATATGCTTCACAAGAAAGTCTCCACTCACCCCCAAATCCCCTTGTGGTTCCATATTTTTATGTTTGTAGTTGATGATGCCAGCACCTTGAATCCTGGTTCTCATGGAGTGCATCCATGCGTTTCCCAGCTAAGGTGTTCAGCGTTATTACATTCTTGCTAGCTCTACAAAACTATATGCTTCAGATCCTAATCTACTTCTATTCAGGCAGGATATGCCTCAATTAAAAGAGCATGGTCCCTTCTAGGTCTCTCCCCTCAAAGGTAGTTTAAGGAACCTGCCTGAACCTGTGAGGCTGCCATAGACAAGATCACCTCTGGAACTTACCAGACTATCCTCTCCTTGGAGGTTGGTAACCTTCTAGAAAGAAATTCTAGAGATGCAGACTCAGACTCACTTGTAAATAAAAGAGTCTACCATATCTCTTTAAAATGGAAGCCAGGCCTTTCTGACAGTTTGACCAAAGAAGACCAGGCTTATGCCTCTGAGTACGTCTCTAGGGTATCTTTGGGGAGATCCATTTGCACTAGGGTTGAAAGTTTCAGTCTGTGTGTAACAGCTGAACCTATTAGTTTCACAAAGAGAATACTAAACCAATTCTAGGGCCTAAATGGAACAAGCCTTGCCTCTTGCCCACGTGGCAGCCTTGAGATGCGACCAACTAGGAATGGTCTATCTTTTGGTGTAAGATTCCCATCTGTGTGAGACATGGCTGCAGGTTTGATCATCTCTGCTCATCTTCCTATAAATGTGCTTTGGTCTGATTGCCTCTCTGCCATACGCAGTAGTGAATGAAAGACTTCAAGTGAGTTGTTATGGAGACTCAGAATCCTTCTTCCAGACACCATGTTCCCATGAACACTAACTAGGACCATATCATGCATTTGGCGGTTGTGTACCTGTTGGCATCTAATCTACACTGTTTTTGGACTTCTGTCTCCTCATCCCTCATCCTCATTCAGGTTGCTAGACTGCAGAAAAATCCAGAGTCAACATGTAAAGGTCTCCCACAAATTTCTTTCTTTCCATGGCTGTGACTCAAGCCACACCCACACCCACACTCACACAAAATAGCAGTTCCCACCATTGCAAACCTACTGGCCTATAGGGAGGGTTCTTCCGCTGTGGTCCAAGCCACCTGGGCCCCAGATCCTGTTGTCCATCATCTCTGTGCCCACGTTGCCACTCTCACCAACAAACAAGCTGTTCTTTATCTCCTGCTTGGAGCCATCATCATATGGGAAGGTCCCACCACTGCAGAGAGGAGATGTTGGGGGTGAGATGTCCAAATATAAGCTCTCACAGAAGGCCAATCGCAATGGCAGTTAGTCTTACCTGGCCAGGGTCAGGCCGATGCCATTATCAGCAAACCTGGGGACAAGAGCAGACAGTCAGCCCATGCTGTCACTCTACAGTCAGTGAGGTTGTAGGAGAAAGGACCCTTCTCTGTCCCTGGAGTCTCACTGTGGACATCGAGGGAGGAGTTTTGCTGAGGAAACCATAACTTTCCACTCTACACAGAAAATGGGTATTCTGGTTCCTCTTGACAGATTTGGAATTCTCTGGAGCATCTGGTGGAGAGCTAGAAGATGTATCCCACACTGGCAGGGGTCCTCAATGCTCAGCATTTGGGGGCATGGAACATTAGCTACAGGAGCACTGGGCCTCACAGGCCTCCCTTGCCAGCCCACCTCTGGTTGAGCCCCGGGAGCCTGTGGGTTGATCAGGAGACATGGAGGGAGGGTGATTTCTCATCCTCGGGGCAGCACCAACTGAGGGTGGGCCATGTGGGACTACTCTCAGCCATGGTAAGAAACTCAAATAGCTAATTTCCAAGTTTCCTCAAAGCTAGGGAGGTTCCATCCTTGAGAAGAGCAAGAAGGAACCTCATAATTACACCATGCTGATCACAGGGGCTCCCCCAAAACACTGCCTGACGTTAGGGTCAGCATGAGCAGGTTTCTGGAGGCATCTGCTCCTGCCTCATGAAGGAGTTGGACCTTGGATCTGTGTCGCCTTCCCTTCCTTTGTTCCTCTTCTCCCTTCCTGTCCAGGACACCCCAAGGGGCTCATCTCCTCCAGGCGCTACTTTCACCCACCATCTGCTGCTTCTTGAATTTCCAGTGGCTTCATGTCTCATATAAGCCCAAGGCCAGGTCTTACCCTGGCATAGAAGGCCCAATCCCTCATTCCCTTCTGTGTCAGCCACACAGGGTGATCCAGGTTGCTATAAGCTCCTCAGTTCCCAACATATTAGATGCTCAGCTCCCTTTCAGCATGCCAAGCTTCCCCTTCAAAAATCTAGCCATTCAAACCAATCAGCCAAGGCTCACCATGGGCACCAGGCTGTCTAGCTCCTTTCTTCTCCCTGTCCCCAGATTTCCCTTCTCCCTGGTATCTCCTGGTGCTTTGCTATGGTCCCTTCATGCTCTGCTGTGACCCTAGAGACCTCACAGACACTCATAGCTTCCTTCTCCCCTTTTCTGTTGGGAACTCTAAGACCAGACATTTGTTCTGTCTTGTCTTTGGAAGATGTGGGACATTTTCACTGCATACTTTAAGAGTATTTCTATCTCAACAGTCTAAAACATAGTCACCCACCCATGTCTGCTCTCTATGCTGAAGACTGGGGTTTATCCACACTCTGCTTTCTATGATTCCTCCTCACCTGGACTGGGGTGTGGTATTCCATCTGGAGTTCCATTTTCCCATCTCCAGAAGTGCCCTCTTCCATCCTTGCCTGCATCCAGAGATACTAGAGCCTCCACCCCTGCCCCAATTCCCCAAAACCACACATGGTAAATGCTCAAACTCTCAGAAGAGACCATCTGTCAGCTCTGAACCATGTCAACTCTGTCTATGTGTGGGCCCTCAACCCTAGTGCTAGCCAGACTCTGAGTATCTTTAGAATGTCTGGTGGAAGACAAGAAGATACCCCCTCATTGGCAGGGTGCGTCATAGCTTCATAATTTTCTTTGCAGAAGGAGAACCATGTTTGGCATCAGACTTCTGGGGACTTTACACCATGAATCAATGTTTTGGGCCCTTTTTGTTGGTCTTAGAGCATAAAGCATTAAGTCCTCTTTTCTACCACTCATTAGCTATGTAATGTGAGACCCTCCTAACTGAGCCTGAGTTTATCATCAGTGGAGAGAGGATTGTGCATTTTTAAAATTTTCATTCTTGAGAAATATGGTGAGGAAGAAATAAAAGCAAAGTTTAGGGGCACAATGAGTGCCCAGCACTGTAACTCCTTTTTCCCTTCCTGCACTGACCAGCCGTGGGGCATGAGAGAGAGAGAGTCCCCATGAGTAACTCAGCATTCAGCACTGTGGGTGAATCTGTCATGCTGCTGTGGGTTTTTCTTCCTCTGGTCACATCCTATGCCCCTGGCAGTATGTTTAGAATCCTCAGTGCCCCTTGCTCACTCTTCATTCTGGGGAGGAACACCAAGTCTCTTCTGTGTCAGTGTCACCTTGCTTTCCAGACTTACCGGCAGCTGTCCAGCCACACATCCCCACCCCGCAGCCAGGCTCCATGGTCCTGGTTCTTGTAGGCAGTGAAATGACGGATGATGGCGGGCTCCCGGGGTTTCAGTGGGTCTGCGTCCTGGTGTGGGCTGTACCTGGAGCATGGGAAGACACAGGTAATACTCCTTCTGGCCTCTGTATGCTGCTTTCCACTCACAGGTTCCCAGATATCTCTGACTGTACAGAAACCCGTTGGCGAGGTGGGCTCTGGCATGAACACTCTGAGTTTCTCCCAGAGGCAGAAGATCCCATCTCTAGGGCCCAGCTCCTTGCAGGAGACAGACAAGGGGTCCCACTTTTGCTAATGACCTTGAGTTTTCAACAACTTATGTTTTCTTTGAGATAGGCTCTCACGATGTAGCCTCAGCTGGCCTAGAACGCACTTGTGCAAGCCATGTTGACATTGAACTCAGAGATCTTTGTGCCTCTGCCTTCCAGGTGCTGGATGGAATTAAATTTGTGTGCCACGCTGCCCAGCCTTGGCAACAACCTTTCAAAAGCAGCCTCTGGTCTTCAGCTGAGCTCTGGCTTGACTTCTCAGCTGGGCCATCAGATTCCTTACCATCAAAATGACAGTGAGTGCTTCCTCTCTGATCATCTTTGTATCCCAGGCCTGCCTGTCATGGCTCTGGCCATTCCTACTCTTGTACCATCCTGGCTCTGCAGAGGGATCTGGAAACTGCTAGGAATTTCAGTTTCCCTTTGGCTACTAGAGCTTGGACTCCAATTCAGACTTCGTTTGGACTTCTGGCCCAGGACTGTATCCCAACAACTGGCTCAATGCCATGTAGCAAGCACTCATCAGATGAAGAAACGCACGGCTGGAGCAGAAGACAAGGAAGCAAGCTGCTGTCCCGAAGGTTATTACCTGGCAGAGATGATGGAGAGGAAGGGCCGCTTGTCCTTGGCTGAGGCCTCAGTAGTCTTGACTCCGTTGTCTATGATCATGCCAGCCTGGGGTGGGGGGGAAAGGACACAATGGTTACCACTGTTGCCTAAAGCCATCTTCGCATATGTATCAGCCTAGGCACATGCTTTTGAATATGCCAGTAAACACAGCATGATTCTCAGACTGTGTCCATGGCAGTAGAATCTATAGCGAGGGCTGAAGAAAGCCCACCTCACTCTGCATCTCTCTGATCAGATCTGGGACAAGGTGATCTGCAGGGGTGTAGATAAAGAAATTGGGGTCTAAGAGTGTCCGAGCTGGGGTCATGTAGCCAATTCTACATACAGAACTCATGCTACTTTGTAGAGTTTCTGTCCCAGACCCCCAGACAAGGGCTACAAGTGTGCACTCCGAAATGTGTCACAGACCTTTCAAATGAACCCTGTATTTGTCTCACTTTTCCTTTGTGTGGGAGTCAGTGACATCTTACTGCCTGTCCTGGCTCCTGCTTGACTTGAGGAGAAAGGCTAACCCTTTTTTAAAAAAATTTGAGGCAGGGTCTCATGTAAACCAGGCTGGCATCAAACTTGCTATGTAGCCAAGGATGATTTTGAATTTCTGATTCTCCTGCTTCAGCCTCTAGAGTGCTGGGATTATATAGGTCTGTACCATCATGTCTAGTTTGTATGAAAACCCAGGGCTTCATGTACACAAGGCAAGCACTCTACCTGTGACTGGTGTGTGTGTGTGTGTGTGTGTGTGTGTATGTGTGTGTGTGCATGTGTGTGCTAAAGCTGCCCACTTTACAGCCACCAAGTGGGAGGAAATGGAGGCTGCAGTCCTGTAGGCCACTATCGAATGCCTTTTACTCCCATATCACCTTGGCTTCTTAGGAGAACTTTACCTTTTTTTGTTTTTCTTCAAGTTACTCTTTGTTCTCTGGCTGGCTTTAACTTAACAACAGTGATGATGTGAGCTTTGGTTTTTGGTTCTATTCTTATAGACTGTGCCATTGGCAAATCCCTCACCTCTTTGGCTAGTCACATTGTTATCTGTAAAGTCACATAGTCATCTGTAAAGATGGCTGATGACACCTACTCCACGGAGTGGCCATGGAGACTGAATAAGATGCCTGACAAATGACTCCATGAGGTGGGTGTGGTGTCCAGCATGACTGGGTAGGAGCACCCAGGATGCAGACCCTGTGCTCTGGCCATCAAGCTGGCCCAGCTGTAGAGTCTCCCCTTCTCTCAGCCTATCTCTGACAAAAGGAGCCCTCCTGTGCTCATAAGTGCTAATGTCCCCACCCCCACACCAGTGTCCTTGACTCTTCCTATTAGAGATGTTACTCTTGACTAAATTACCCCCCAGCCTCCTATGCTACCCAGACCTGTGGGCCCTCTCTTGCAAGTAGGACATTTTCTTGAGGGTCCAGGGAATGGTGGGTACCAACAAGAAGCCAATGTGTTTTCTCTCCTTCTCCAACAGTGATATGGTCTAAGCACCTGCCTCTGCACAGGAAATCAATGACATCCATGAAACGCAGCTCCTCCATCCATAGACTCCCCTCCACACTTCTGCAGTGGCCTCTAGAACTATCCCCCTGCTTAGGATCTGAGATACAATTTAGAAATTGTCTCCTTTCTCTTCATGACTCTCTCCTCAGTACTGGCTTTTGTCCCCTTAGCCCAGGTTTCAGCACAGATCAACTCTGAGCCTGTATTGCTTCTTTTTGGTTGTCTCCTTAGGTTCAACTTTTTGAAACAGACTTTGATTGTGTATGTGCATGTGGAGACCAGAGGTGGATGACAAATGACTTCTATTGCTTTCTGTTATTGTTATTTTGATACAGGGACCTTCGCTGAACCTGGAGTTAACTGGCTAACTGGCTGGCCAGAGGATCTTTGGGATCTGGCCTTGGGATTTGCTTGTCTCTGCTTTCCTGTCAATGGGGGTTACAGACACATACTTTTGTTCTCAAACTTGCACAGCAAGAACTTTAAACAGTTAAATATCCCACTAGCTCTCTGAAATATCTTTTGCTTGGCCCTGGATGTACCCATTCCTCTATGGAAGTACCAATTTCCTTGTCTGCACTGTTAAGACTTGGACCAGACACCATCCCAATGTCCTAGAGACCATCTTGGTCCATAGAGTGTTGTCATCTTTAATCTCAGCCTTGCCCCAAACTCTCTTGGTGTGTCCAACAATTGTCCCTGTGGGAAAGTTCTGGACACATTGAAGTTCCAGTCATCCCAATCTTTCCCACTTTACTCTAGCACCTAGCTTGGAGTAAGGTACACACTGGTACTCAGAAAACGAGGGCAAGCAGTGAAGGCACTCAAGGAGTTTCTTACTCTTTACCTACTGACTTAGCCCTCGCAGATGGAACCACCCACTCCCAGCAAGAAAGTTTGGATGCCAATGCTACCTCAGAACCATGTCCAACTTCCCTTAGTCCATGGCCAGACCTCATTTTATAGTCAACATCACTGTCACCCACAAACGGATCACAAAATCAAACCAAATGTCCAACCCAGCATCCTCCAGGAAGGGAAGCTGGTGGGAAGGCACACCTTGCTCCTTTGGTTGGGTAGATGCTGTGAATGACAAGGCAGGCCCCCCAAAGGAGACTTGCGGTGAGTGGTCAGTAACCTGCAGGCCTTGGAAGGCTGCTCTGGACCAATGGGAAATATGTAGTTTTTTTTCAGGCACTAATCGTCTACAGGTTGGTGCAGGGGAATGAACAGGCTGGTCATAGCAAGGCAGCATGGAGAGACTCACCCGGTAGTTAGAATGTGCTCGGTTGTTGTGGAATTTCCCCAGTGGAATGTGCTCAGAGTAACCTGGGGAGTACATCCCTACGGAGGGGCCCGTTGGCACATGGTGAAAAATGAACCAAAATCCAGTTTCCTGTTGGGACAGGGCATAGGAGAGAGTCACAGAAATTAGTGCCTGTGAACTCCTGATTGAGTGGCCCAGGCTCTGGGAATGGAAGCAGTACTGTAACCAGAACAGGCCATCACCAGACACCACCAAACACATCTGTGTGGTCCAGGGCTTGACTGGACACCACACACCACCAAACACACCCATGTGGTCCAGGGCTTGACTGGACACCACTTACTACCAAACATACCTGTGTGGTCCAATGCTTGAATGGACAAAGGGAAAAAAGCTCAAGGTTACGGTAATTTGTCATTTGGCTACTTGACATCACTCACTCTTCACAACAGCCCCACCCTATCTGCTACTGTCCAAATTAGTGGGTCACGGTAGAGGTTAGACTGCCGATGGATAGAGTTCCGAAAGCAAGCGTTCTCAGCGTTCCTTGGAGATCTGGAAGCTGAGGCCCAGAAAAAGGAACAGACAGGATCAGGGTCAAGGTCCCCAGCTAAACCAGCAGCAGGGAAGAGCTGTGTCAGAGCAAGGCTGTTGGAGCAGAGCATGGTGTTTGTTGCCTAGCTGCCAACATCCAGCTCTTTGGGGCTCTGGATGCACTATGTCTCCCTGTTGTAGCTTCCTCCCTAGCCTAGGGCATAGCCTTGATGTCACAATCACACGGTGTTAGTGCACAACACTGATGCATCCGGTATCATCAGAAGGAAAAACAACTCATTCTATAAAGAATTGCTGTGCATAAATTGCTTAGTGCTCTGGGATGGTTTGGATATGAAGTGTCCCTGACAGGCTCATGTGTCTGAGTACTTGGTCTCCAGTAACAATGCTAGCTTTTTTTAGTGCAACCTTTAGAAGGGGGAGATGAACTAAAGGAAGTGGGTCATTGGGGGTGGGACGTAAGGATTATAGCCTGGTTCTACTTCCTGTCTTGTCTTTTTTTTTCTAATTTTCTTTAAGTTTTAATGTTTATGTGTATGAGTGTTTTGTTTGTATGTATGCCTGAGTACAACATGTATGCCTGGTGCCCAGAGAGGTTGGGAGAATGCATAGGATCCCAGGAAACTGGAGTTAGGGATGGTTGTGAGCCACCATGTGGGCCATGGGAATCAAAGTCAGATCCTCTGCAAAAATAAGTACTTTTAACTGTGGAACCATCCCTCCAGTCCCTCTTTCCATTTCCTCATCCACCTAGATGTGAACAAGCTCCCACTGTCGCAGCCACAAGTAATGGCCCCCCATGCCTTCCCTACTATATGGACTATATTCCCTTAAGCCACAAACCAAAGTAAACCACTCATTAGTTATGGTCACCAGGCTTATGGAGTGATGAACAGAACTGTCATTTAAAACCAAGTCACGGGACTCCCCATCTCCAGTCACAGGGAGGAGTGGCCCTGAGCTCTGAACACACACATTTCCAGGGCAGCCTCCGCCAGCTCCGCCTTGCTTATTTCTGCTTACCTCAGACCCCGCAGCCGCACAGTTAATGAGGTTGTTGTTGGGATTTGCCATCCAGAAAGTGGACACAGCACTGCAGGGAGAGGACAGAGGTTAAACAGTGCCTTATGAAGCACTGCCAGCTAGCACCCTTTCTGCTGCTCAGTGGGAGGGCCCATGGGAGACACTAGTATTAGTGGAGAGAGTCTCTTGTCTGAGATCTGAGAAACCGTTAATGGAGGCATTTGAGGTTCATTTTCTCCCCACAAGGCAGTGAGTGCATTTAATCTGTGTACCGTTCAGGGCTGTAAGAGCTAAGTGCAGTTTGTGCTTCAACAGAAGCAGGAATGTGAGTCCAGGAAAGTGAACCTTTCTAAGGAAGGCTGTCTGTGTAGAAAGCCATGTGTCTGTCTGTGTCTGCCTCTCCCTGCGTCTCTCCTCGGTGTCTCTGCATCTGCCCATGTTTGTTTCTCTGTCTTTGCATCTCTATGTCTATTTCTCTGTTTTTCCTGTGTCTGTCTTCTGTCTCTCTCTTGTATCTCTGTTTTTCTGTCTGTTTGTCTGTCTGTCTATCTGCTTCTGTCTCTTTGTCTTTCTGTCTGTATTTTCTATCTCTGCCTTTCTGTGTGTGTCTCTGTTTTCCTGTCTGTCTGTCTATCTGCTTCTGTCTCTCTGTTTTTCTGTCTGTATTTTCCTATCTCTGCCTTTCTCTGTATCTCTGTGTGACACTGTTTGTGTCTCTCTCAGGCTAGAAAGAGATTCTTGTGGCCAGGCTGATGGGTATGTATTGGGAGCTGATGTGGCAGCTGCTTCCTGTCCACAAGGATGCCATGTGGCATAGAGCCGCAGGTGAGCCAGCACTTTCCAGACAAAACAGTGCTAGTGAGGCTCACAGAGGAAGAAGGGAGGAGGGTGGAGGGAGGAGGGGGAAGGGAGGGAGAAGAAGCTACTCCAGGGACCTCACTCTGAGAGGTAGGCAGGAATGAACAGTAAGCTTCTAAAGGTCCTGAGGCAGGACATTGAGTGTTCATGCTCATCCCCTCCCATCCCCCAGACCCAAGTGTAAGGCGTACTCTACAGTACTATGCACACACTTACTTGCAGTCCTGCCTGGGCTTAGGAATGTACCCTGGGTATGAGTCCTCTGTGATCACTTTGCACATCCTGCTGTCCCGGTCTGATGGGAGGAGAGTCCCTGACTTAACAAGGAGGCCAAGGCAGTGGTCAAAAGTGTTGCGTTCCTCTGGCCCGTCTTCAGTGAAGAAGCAGTGGCCCAAAGAATTGTAGCCCACAACGTCCTTGATCTGTAGGGTCAAGGAAGGAGTTTCACTCAACACACAAGTAGGCATGTGTCTGAATATTCATTCAACAAGCATGAAACAGTGCTGAACTATACCAGGCTTAAGTAGATTGGGCAGGAGGATGGAGACAACCTTGGCCCCAGGCAAAAGCCTGAGGGCAGACAAGGAAGAGAACAATCTCTTCTGGTTGGGTGTGCTGGGGATGAGGCTTCAGGGGATTGGAAACTGGGATGAAACACCAGAAGTGTGTAGGTGGTTGAAGGGGAGACTCAGGCCTGTGTTCTAGAGACAATTCTACTGAGCTTGCCAGGACGTCCTGAGGAGGGTCTCCAGGGCATGGCAGCTCTCCCACGAGGCAGCACCACAGCCCGTCTGGGGGATGATTCACGGACACATACACTAATATACTTCTATAATCCCTGGAACCCAAGCCTGTTTGTTGGTCCACGATGCCCACCAGGACACCTTTGCACCTCAGGCTGAAAACCAGAGAGGAATGGTACAGCCGGCTACTGGGCCACCTTCCCAGAACTACAGAGTGAATAGAAAATCCAAAGAGACACCGTGAAAGCAGAATGTGGTCTCAGTACCAGCCCCAGGAGGCTCTCACACCAGCCTGCTGCCTTGTCAGTCACTACAACAAAGCTCTGGACTTGACCTCCATCATCTATCTCCAAGGCCTCAGAATCCTTAGAGAGTCCTGACCTGAGCCCCAGTTTCCTGTTCACACTGGACTGCAATGACAGCGTCTCTCACACACGGACTCCTACTTTGGCTCAAACACCCCAGAGAGGCGATGCTCTCGGCTCACAAAGTCCAATGGGTGAGGGTAGAAGCCCTCTGTGTGTCTTTCCTGTGTTCTTCCATCCCGAACTGTGCAGTGACTGCATCCAGTGACATCATTCCAGCTTCCCTGTGACCTCAGATCAACCCACACCTCTTAAGAAGGTGCCACTGTGCCAGGAGCTGGAAAATCTGTATGCGATCCAAATGCCCCTGGCACTGACTGAAATACCAAGGCCTGATGCCATTACAAGGGACTGCCTTTCTCACTGTAGGGCACTCAGTAACCCTGGTCTGTCCCTGTCAGATACCAAAAGCAACCCCACTCCACCCCCTCCCCCAGCCCTACCCTCACCAAGCAGTTTTCAGACTTCTATTACTCTGTAGTCCACTGAGTAGGAGGGGTGACAAAACTGTCTCTGATGGAAAAGCATTGATCCAAGGTGAACAACTGAAGTTCCTCCAGGCTCTCCATGGTAGGTGCAAGCTCCCTAACTGCAGGGCAGTCAACTGTTAGGGCCATCTCCACAGCAAGCCCCTCCATGGCTGAACACTGGCTGATCCCTTAGACCTTTTCATCTCTGCAATCTCACACAGTCCTCTTGCAAATTTTTGTTTTAGAAATGAAGGTGTTGAGGTCACAAAGTCCAGTGGGAAAAGCCATGGCAGGGATGCTTGCTTTTTCAGGCCTATGTGTTTTCCCTTGTAAAGGAAGACCACACTGCCTGCCTACACCAGGCAAGCCCTCTGCCTCCTAAACAAGCATCCTTCCTTTAATCTTTGATGACAACAGGCAAGGGCATAACCTTCAAGTCCATTCACTCCTTCAATGGGCATTTCAGCCAATGCCAAGGTCATCCAGTGGCATGCTTCCTCCTCTTCCAGTGAGAAATGAAAGCTTGTTATAAATAGCCCTGAAAGACAAGCCTAGGAGGGGATTCGACTGCTCTTGTTGGCGGTCTAAGATCAAATTCAATGCCTGGCTTTGCAGAGGAGAAAACTGTGCCCAGGGAAGGGAGGTGGGTATCCCAGGGAATTTGGTGTCCTCAGATCTCCTGTCTTCTGCCCATGGATCTTTGTAACTTGTCCCGATTCGGTTGCCCCACCCTTTAGATCACATGGCCAGGAGCCCTTCTCTGAAAGTGAGTGAATGAGTTAGGGACACTTTTCTAACAAACACTCAAGGAAGAGCTGGACTCTAAGACTCTTGAGAGGTGCTGTGAATAGAAAGGGCTTCACCAGAAGAAGGAAGAGAAACAAGCACTGTGGTTGAATGTCCAGGGGCTTATGCATGTTACCCTGTTTCAACCTTATTTCAACGGATGCCACTTGACTTGGATGTCCCAAGCCCCTTTCTTTGCAAGGACTGAACTCAGACTTGATCTTATCTCGTTTGAAACAGAAACCATTCTGCTTTTTTGAGGGAACAGTGAGTCTCTCAGAACCAGGAGAAAAGGGGGACAAGGGAGAAGGGAGGTGGGGGGCGGGAGAGAATGCAAAATTCACATCTTTACTTAACCACAGGCTTGCTCTGCTACAGTGAGTATCTCTTGTGTGATAGAGGGGGTGCTAAAAACATCTTCAGACTGTTTCCCCTCAGAACACTTCACAGAATTGGATGGATAGATAGATAAGTGAATATGTAGGTAGGTAGATGATAGATAGGTATAAATGAATGATGGATGATAGATGATAGATAGATAGATAGATAGATAGAGAGATAATAGTAATAGTGTATGCATAGAGAAATCGATAAGGATGTTAGGTAGATAGGGAGGTAGGGAGGTAGATAGGCAAGCAGATAGGTAGGTAAATAATAAACAGATGTTGGTTGTATGAATAGATAGAGAAATAGAGACAGGCAGCTAGGCAGATGATAGATGCATACAGATAGACATATCAGCTAAATAAATATTCTCTCTGTCTCTGTTTACCCCCACTTGAACTGTCCTTATATGCTTATCAGAGAGTGTCTCTCTGTCTCTCTATCTCCCCTCTCTCTGTCTCTGTCTCCTTTCCCCTCTCTTTCTCTCTTTCTCTCTCGGTCTCTCTCCCTCCCCCTCTCTCTTTCTTTCTCTCTGTCTTTGTCTGTCTGTCTCCTCCTCTCTCTCTGGTTGTCCTTATATGCTAATCAGAGAATGTGTAACCCCTCTGCCATTCTCTTTGCAAAAGCTAAAACTGTATTTCCCCTTCATTTTTCTAGGCATCTTCTTGCCTGCTGATATCATGATTCCTGGAAGTTGTTTTAGGTCCTTCACTGTTGTTAGTAGAGTCTGGACATGAGATTGTAAAGGAGAAAATTCATATAAAAACTCAGAAACAGTTGTCAGGTATTGTTTAATTTTGTGTGACCCTCGATTTAGTTGTCACTGAATCAGGGCATTTGGTGGTGGGGGGGTGGGGGCATGGTGACAGCACTAGAGGAGACTAGGGAGGCAGCACTAGGTCTGAAGACTGTTCTGTGTAAGTCAAGATATATAGTCACGCCAGACTGAACTGGCTTCCATCAACATCCTGCATGTTCTCAGAAGAGTGATGCTTCAATTAAATGAGCACAAGCAGAAATTAGTCATCGGTTGACTCTCTGGATATGCAAGATTCCATTATAGCTTCAATCAAGCTCAGACCAGAAATTTTTCTTTTAAAAAGTGCTCATGAGGAACATGTACATGCTCTTTCCCTTTGGCATTGTTCCCCCAAACAATATGGGATGACGACTGTTTACTGGGCATTTACATGGCAGCATAAAACACCTAGAGGTGATGTAAAGCCTGAAGGAGCATGTGCATAGGTTCTATGCAAATACCAGGCTATTTTATACCAGGACTTGAAGTCAAGGATTCTGGCACCCTCAAGGGGCTCCTAGTACCAAAGAGGGTGCTTCTTACTTCTGAAGTCTTAGATGGGTATATTATATGTGTATGTGTGTGCATATGTATACACACACACACACACACACACACACCATCATCCATCATCATCTTCGAGAAGCCTCACATCAGATTCAGTCATTTAAAAAAGAAATGTATTTCCAAGCTTCTGCCATCATTAAGAAATTTAAAAATAAAATTCCTGAGGAGGAGCTGGCCTTGGAGCACAAGCAAGGGCCATTTGTTTTGCAGATCTTAATGAGTTTTTGAATATGCAAATAGAAGTTGAGAGAGGAAACAGAACAAAACACTACCTAAAAAGGGAAGGAATGCCTCCAAGGCTGTGCAGGGGAGGTAGGAAGGGGTGGGGGGGCGAGGATCAGGGGAGGCAGAGCTAGTAAGGTCAGATGCTGCCTGATGGAAAGCATGTGACCTGGAAAGGGGCAGTGAGACCAGGGGACCTGCCATTCCATTCCCTTCCACACTGTCTAATTCTGCTCTGATCTGGAATGTTCTCCCTTCTCCGTACCTCTCCCTCCCATTTCTGTAACTCAGTCTCCCAGTATAGCACTGGACCAAGGTAACTCTATGGAAAAGGAAAGAGAAAATCTGGGCTCACGTGTAAAGGAGAGAAGAGAAGAGCCACACACCTTGACAAGGGAGAGGACACATTCAAAAGGGGTGAGCCAGAGAAAATGGAAGCCTCTCCCACAATTCCCAGGGCCGTGCAGCTGGCAGAGAAGATGCTGGGTTTCCCATCATGGGCTCCAGATATCTTTAGTCGAATGCCAAGAGAAGGGTGTGGCCCTGAAGATAGAGAACCTAGGGTCTGACTGGATCTGCTGGCACGAAGAGTCATGCATGGCACAGCCTGCATGGAAGCAGTTGCAACCTGCTGGGGGCATCATGGTTTTGTACCGCTGTCATTTATAATAAAGATAAAATGTGAGCAAGTCCCCACGTGGGGAAGGGTGTACGTCCTTTTGCTCAGTCTCCCTGGCTTACAGAAAGGAGGTAGGAGAGAGTAGGACTCACACTGGAGTCTTTTGTACCTTCTGCTAAAGCCGGGAGCATACTGATTGCCTTCCAGTAAGAGGAAGGCAGCGTTGAAGGTCATGCTGTAGAACTTGATGTACACATGAAGATGCACTCAGCCTATTTCCCTGTGGCCCTGCAGAGAGTGTACGTAGAGCCTCTCCTTGGGGAAATTCTTCTATCCCAAACTTGCTAGCATTCTGGGGATAGTATGCACACAGCCTCCTTCTGAAGGCAAGTTTCCTCTCTGCACCTGCCAGCACCTTGGAGCCTCGGTGCTCCATGCCACATTGCCGGAAGGATACCCTCAACAGTGTTACTATCACAGAAGATATTACCACAACTTCACTATATGGACTCAGGGTGGTGGCTCAGTGGGTTGCAAAAGCATTGTGAGAAAGGGACCTTGTGACCAGATGAGGGCAGGCCTTGCTAACAGATCAATGAATTCGGTGTGTTTTACTCAAGACTCTTTCTATGTGAGCGTGCACTGGGACTTTTCAATGTGGCAGGGAGGGAGTCCATTCATGCAGCGTTTGCCAAGAGTGTGTAACTACACAGGCCCTACTTTTTGGTGGGGCATATGCTACTATCTCCCGGAAGCAGAGATGTTTCCTCAGAACAACAGAGACTCAGAGGCACATGGCACTACTGCTATTTAATGTCCTCTCAATGTGTGTCGCTTGTGTTATCTGGTTTCACCCTCCCAACAACTCTTTGAAGTTGACTCTGTCAGCATTTTCATTACGCGCTGGAGGAAACTGAGGCCCGGGGAGTTTCCATCAGTTCCTGCAACTCCATGCTGTTGACTTTTGAGCTTCTGCTGGGACCCACAACACTGACACAGGGAAGAGCAAAGAGACGCATGAGTTGAGAGAAGGACCCTGGTTTGCTAAACTCAGTGACATTTTAGTCATATTGCTGAAAGCAGTCCCCCAAACTCAGAGAAAAGCAGAAGCTGAAGGGTTTGTGTTTTTGTCAGAAAAGGGAAATGGTTTAAACTTTGAACTAGAAGGGACTGGAGAGGTGGCTCAGTAGTTAAGAGCACTTGGTCTTGCAGAGGACGTGGGTTTGGTTCCAAGGACCCAGGTTCCAGGGATCTAATGCCTTCATCAGACTTTTGTGGGTACCAGGCAAGCACATGGTATATGTACATACACTCCATGAAAAGATTCATACACATAAAATAAAACAATTTTAAAGAAAAAGAATAAATGAGAGGAAGGGGGGCTGCCTATGGCAGGTTGAACATGAAGGAAGCTGGCTCCCAAGGGTGGGAGCACACAGGCAGCAGATAGGGAAGAACTGTAAATGGGCCTCCTGGGACACCTCAGGGCCTGCTGTGGTGGAACAGGGTGCTGAGACACCTCTCGGCTCCATACAGCTGGGGGGTCCTACTTCCTAGTGCGCTGGGATCTGCTTGTCTGGGATCCACCTATCTCTGACCAGGAATGATACTAGCAAAAGGCTTCCAGGAACACCCCATCTCCCCTCCCCCCCCCCCCCCCCCCGTGGCCTCTGCAGTCTAAACCATAATAGCATCTTTGTCTCTATATGGCCTCTTTTGGTTCTGTCAACTGAGCCGTCTCCCTGAAATGTAGTCACCCACTGATAAACCATTCAGTTCAGGCAGCAAAGAAACGCACACCAGTATGAAAAGCCAGCTCCCACAGCAGCATTCTGGACGGCGTGCAACTGCACATTCCAAGAGCCTGCCTGGGACATGGCCCTGCGCTGCCTGCTTGGCTCAGAGAACTAGCGACTCAATACACCATCTAGATGGCAAGCAGTGCCGATTGGCTCCACCTTGGAAAGGCTGTAACGAGGCTGTGCCTCCAAATCTAGCAAGCACAGCTGGGAACTGAGTGATGGTAGCTGCCTGAACGGCCACTAGATAGGGTTGTAGCTGGCACCTCAGCCATGTGGCCGCTGGATAACAAGGGAGCCCAGATGCTCCTTCCCAATTTGGCAGCTGACTTTCCTGGGAGCTGGGCAGGAGGAAGTCTTAGCTTACAGAGTTGCATAGATTTGTTGGTTGGGCAAAACTGTTCAGGGTTCTGCTCTAAGGCCCTGACTCTACTGTGGATACCATGGACTCATCTAATTGTTCCAGGCCAGATCTGAGGGATGGGGATGCCTTAACTCACTGTCTTCCCTTTCCTACCATAAGTCTCTTGATTCTCTCACCTAACTGAATTAACCCAGACTCCTGGGGATGGCCCCCTGCCAGCTCCAGGAGCCTGAATCTCACTGTTGGCCCCGCATGCTGTCCTGGTGAGTGTCCCCTATGCTTGCTCAGTTCCCTAAAGCCAGCCTGTTCTGTGGCAATACCGGACTTCCTGCTCTGGAGATGGGCTGCTAGGATGACACAGCCAGGAATGTCTCACTCTCATCCTCTACCCAAGCAAACTGAAAGGTAACACTGTTCTGCAGGGCTCGCAGGAGGGCTTCGGCTGGCCAAGTTCACACCGGAAGTAGGTGAGAAAGCACAGCACAAGATCTCCCTTCCCCCCAGGGCCTAAGTCTGTAGACAGAATACCCTTCCAGCAGGCACTTACCAACAGGCCATTGGAGCCATGGACAGTGACGCAGCGGGAGAATGTGTGGTGGATGGAGAGGTCCCTGATGTACGTAGGTGGGTCATAGCCTCCCTGTTCATCCAAGTCTCCAGCCAGGTGGAAGTGAATTGGGTACTGGCCCACCAGCTGCTGCCCCATGTACTTTAGCTCCACGCCCTCCAAGTGGGCAGCTTTAAACCCCAGAGCAAACTGCAACAGGAGAGTGAAAGTTAAAAGAGCCCCAAGGCACCCGATTGCCCTAACTGATGCCTGCATCCCCAGAGGACAGGGGTATTTCCTTCCCAGTGCTTTGTCACGAGTACCTCCTGAGTACCCAATAAATCAGAGAGGCTCTGTTCACGTGGATGAGGGTGCCCAACCCTTCTTACACTAGGGGAGTCCAGCAAGGGTTTACAAGATGCTGCAGAATAACGGACTCTTGGGATCGGAAGTGCCCAGGACAATAGCTAGACTTGCTTTGATCTTCCTTTACCATCTCTGTAGCCACCCAATGAGGAAGGAATAATCCTAAAACCATTAGGGAGTGGTGTGTGTGTGTGTGTGTGTGTGTGTGTGTGTGTGTGTGTGTGTGTGTGTGTGGCAGAAAACATGTGGTAGGAGTGCTGGGGAGTGGGGGACTTCAGGGTATCATTGTTCACTGGGTGAAACTTTCTCCTGGGAAGGAAAGGGGCGCTGAGCCTCTGCTCTGGGAACATGCATGTAAGTGGCAGGGGGTCACAGCACAGGGCTGCTCCTGGATGTGCTCAGGGAAACTGCTTGGCCAGACGATGCATGCAATCCAGGAGCTCGGCAGCACAGTCTAGAAAGACACAAGTCAGAAGCAGGTTCCACCAGCTTCTACCAGAGGAGCTGGAGCTTGATATGAGACCATTTTATTTCTCCGAGATTCGGGTATCAACTGGAACACTAGTCCAGCAGCCAGTGCCTGGAGAGCTGTGTTGAGAATGAATCTGAGCTGAGTTTGGGCTTCAGGGGTTGGGGGACATGGGGACTCAGGACCACTCTCCAGATTGGGAGGGACTGCGGTAGCTTGTGTGACAGAGAACTACTGTTTTCTCTGGATCTCACTATGTTCTCAGGTACATAGTGACAATAGCCAGGAAGTATCCACAGACTAGGGACTGGAGAGTCTAGAATTCCTAAAGACGTGGATCTGTACCACAAGACTCTCCACACTTAAATGGTCAGTGGAGCTCTGGTTGTGAACTCTCAGTTTCCTTTCATCGACCTCTTTGTTTACATTATTGAAAAGAATCATTACTCAGTGAGCAGTGTTGACACACGCCTTTAATTCCAGCGCTCAGGAGGCAAAGGCAAATAGATCTGTGAGTTCGTCTCCGACAGGTACAGTTGCCTATCATTGGTCGGTAGACATCTCCTAAGGGTGTGCGTCTATTGCTACCCCTGCTTCACCATCCCTTTCCCTCCTGAGTCTCTGTCCACAGCTAGAATCTTGAGTACCCTCCCATAGGGCTAAGAGCCTCAGCCAGTCAGATTCCTACCTTGATGTGTCCCCCAAAGGTATCAAAGTCAAAGAAGTCACAGATGTGGCTGCTGTAGGGGTAGCATTGGTCCTCCATCTCTCCCATCACCACGATGTTCCGAGTCAGCAGCCCAACCTCAGCCCGCATGTCCACACCATCAATCTCCTCCCCGATATGTAGGTACTGCGGCTTCCCTAGGGCACAAGAGGGGTGAGGAAGCAGAACGGCAGGTGGAGCATGCCCACTCTGTTCCCATCCTGTGTTCCCACAGCTGTAGCTTGCTCTTCACTAGGCCCTCATTCATGGTGGGGCCCGTGGGCCTCATTCCCATGATGAACAGAGCTCAGGTAGGTATAGTCACATGCCTAGGAGAGGGGCTATACAGTTCAGAGTTACTCGTGCTTAGGTCTTAAGACCACCACAGATGTGGCTACTTGTCCAAGAACATTCACTCTTCTGATTTTCCAAGCTAGACTCTGACAGAGGGCTTCCCAGTGGAGCTATGCCTCCCCATGTCCCTACAGTAAGGCGTGGCCATAGGATCTGTGTAGAAGTGCCAGGTGTAACCTTGAGTTGCCTCTCTTGCTCTCCAGCCTGGTGGGCCAACCTCATCCACATGAGGAACCACCGCAACCATAGGAAAGTCATGGCTTAGAGATGGCAAAGGAGAGAGGGGGGGGGAGGGAGGGAGGGAGGGAGGGAGTCACTCTCAGAGTTTCTATTGTTGCTGTCCTCTAGCTGCAATCCTTAGTATAAAAGGAACCTTCTCCCTTTCAGGACCCCACTTCCACTTCAGGGCAGGGCAAACCCATGCTCTACTCTCAGCAGCCTTGTAGGCTTGTACACAGGCCCTTGTGGTTCCACACAGGGCAGTGGGAGGAACTTGCACCCTGCTTTGTGCTGACTTCATGCTGCAGAGGAGGCTCTCTCCCTGCCCATGGATCCTGGCCGCATCCCATGCCACATTCACAAAGTTTGTGCTGACTTCATCCCACAGAGGAGGCTCTCTCCCTGTCCATGGATCCTAGGCCTGTCCTGTGGCTCATTCTGGAGGCGTTGACTCCAGCTGCCAGTCCTTCCCAGTCCAGCCATCTCATTCCTCATCTGCGTTTCTGCTCTCTACCCTCAAGCTTCCCCAGGCCCTGCTATCCTTGAGAAAAATCTCACAAACCAAACACCCTCCCACACTCCTTCCAGTTTCTGTCCTGTGTGGTCTGAATCCTTGACCACTCTCTGTCCACTCTCTCCTTCCTGCTTCCTCACCCCCTTTCTAGCCAAATTCTCTTAGTATTACCCTCACTTCTCCTCTCCCTCTATCTGTGCAGAAAACACAGCTTAAGACAGGCTGGTTACTAAGATGGTTGACAGTGGTTATTTTCCGTGTCGCTTGAGGATGCAATTACAAAGAACACTACTCTCCCATGTGGACTTCCAGCCCAAACCACACCACCTACACCACTTGGCTTTCACGCTGACCTTGACTTGATCAAGGAAGCCCTTGCTTTGGTCCACGAGTGCTCGTGTGCGAAGGCCATGGTTAAAATTAGCGATGCCCGCCGCAGCGGCTTTCCTCTGCTTTCTCGTCCACAGGAAGAGCTGACCCCTGCTCTCCCCTTCACCTGGCACACATCTAGGGGCCTGGCAAAATTGCTGAGGAAGCCTATGGTTTTAGAATTCTGCAGACTCGGTGAGATAGTGTTTTTATTATTTGAAGCAGTGTGACATGCCACGGGTTGATTTTTTTATGGTCCTAGAGGTTAGATGTCCGAAACTGATGTCCTGGGGTCAGTTAAGGTGTTGGCAGTGCTGCTTGCTTAAGAAGGTGCCACCTAGAAACTGTTCCCAGGCCTTTTCAGATTCCAGCGGCTGCCTGTACTCCTGGGTTTGTGACCCCCCTCCTACCTTCCATTGTTCTGTCTGCTGCTGTCATCCCCCACTGCTTTCTCCTCTCTCATCTCCTTTAATCCCTCTTATCTAATAACCTTTGTAGTTAGATTGGACCCACCCACATAACCCAGGACACTCTTCCATTTCCAGAACTTTAATATAGCCCAGATTACTAAGTCCTTATTGGCATGTGAGGCAATATTCATAGGAACTAAGGATCACAGCTCAGATTCAGCCTGCCACAGAGTCCTTAAGAGTCTCAGGCAGAGTGTTAGTCAGCTTTCTGTGACTATAATTAATGCCTGGGATGAGTCAATCTAGAAAGAAGAGAGGTTTATCTCAGTGCACGGTTTCACATGTTTCAAGTGGGCTATGAGGGCTGTGTTGCTTGTGACTGTGATGACACATCTCATGGTGCTTGCATATGGCCCAGGAAGTCCATTTACTTTGTGGACAGTAATGAAACAGAGAAAGGAAGAGACCAGCATCCCACAGTCTTCTTCTAGAACATATCTCTGATGAACTTAAGCCTTCCATTAGGCTTTACCACCTTCCAACAGTTATACACACAGTCTGACATCACTAGAGGAGGTAACTGGAAACAAGTTAAGTATAGGATGCTGGGCCTCTTCCTCTCTGAACCCACTATAACTTTTGATTTAGGTCACAGGCCATGTGTCTTTACTGCTTAAAGGTCCTCTGGACATTATGCTTCTATCCCTGGTTGACCCCCCTGCCCGTTGGTTCCGAGGCCTTCACAAGTAAGGGCAGTGCCTGTGTCTGAAAGTGGTATGTGTGGCTTCTGAGGGACACTGGCTTCAGAAAGCCAGACAGAAGAAACATGGAGCCTGCCTGGTGACTGAAAAGGAAAGAGACTCACATTCAGAAAGAGACGTTCCAGAAGTTGATTGAGGTCATCTCTAAGTGTGGTGTTCAGTTATGGAGAGTTTTCTGCCATCTGTAAGCTGGGTTTTTTTTAAAAATCACCTTATGAAGATATGGAAGTTAGATATAGGTGAGCCTGGAGCAGAATGTGGGGGACGTGACTGTCGCCGGTACAATAGAGAAGCTGTTTCTCTTTACCACTGGTTCTGGGGCTGAGGGAGTGCTGTGGACCTGGGCGTCTCCAGCACAGCCACCTTTCTCATGAGGCTTCAGGATGATGCTTCATAGAGGAAGCGAGGTCCCTCTTTCTAGAACCTACTTATTTCCCACATACCCTTGACTCTGTGCTTGGATACCTGGCTTGGAGGGCTGTGCAGGTCACTGTATCTCTGTGTACTTTTCCTTTTTGTGACACACACTCCTGTGGTGTCTCTTCAAGGACTGAACAACCACCCTCTCACTACTGTTCCTTCTTTTCCAGATCACACTGTCCTAGGTCACAGGGCTGCGAGCCCCTCCCAGAGTGCCCTGCTGGTCTACTCTGGCTGGTTCAGAGTTTCCCAGAGGGAAGAGGTCTGTCCGACAGATCTCCATCCTGACCTTCACATGTGTCAGACCTGCATGGCAGTCTGCAGACCCTGCAGAGTGTTCACATGCATCTTGCCAGGGAGGGGGGCACTTACATGCCTACTTCTGTCTGGATACATCCCCCTCTCTCTTTTCCTTGTTAGTGGAGAACCTCTGCTCTTCTTTCTGCTCTCCCAAGCAACCTCAGCTCAACATGCAGAGACTGGACCTTCTTACAAAGCTGGGTATCTGTCCCCAAGAGCATCTGGTAGAGTCCCACGCCTCTAGCCACACTGGATCCAGGGCTAATCTTCCCTAGTGGATACCCCAAAGGACAGTGGTGCTCACAGTGCCCAGAGAAACTGTCAAGAAATTTTTTTCAACCAAGCAAGACAGTTGTGTGAGGGGTCTAGAATTGACTGCCACGGCCTATGAAAGGGTCAAGGCAAGTGATGGGTGTCTCACTGGGCCCTGAGAGGTACAGCGTAGAGCTGGCTTCCCAGAAGATGTCCCCAGAGGGCCTCCGTGTTTGGGGAATAGGTGGTACTACGAGCTACTGGCTCAGCCACACGAGCCCTGCTTCATCTAATAGTCCAAGGTGGAAGGAGCAGACACCCTGGCCCCTGGCAGGCTCACTGCTTTTATCCCTGCACATCCTCTTTAGTTCCCACTGTGCTGGCTGGTCTTGTCTTCTCAGGGCCTTCGCCATCTGACTCTCAGAGTTACCATTCACCTGGTTGCCTCTACCCAAGACAGTCGGTCGTTCCCCACATGGCTCTGAGCCAGGCTGTCTGACTCCCTTTACAGAAGAGTCCTGGAGCCTACGGTTTAAGCCCCCTGAACCTTGGGCCCTTCGTGTATGACACAGAGATCACAATAGCTCACATCCCAAAAGGTAGCTAGATCATTAAGTGAGTTAATCCATAAAATGTGCTTAAACAGCCCTGGGCACATGGTTGGAGGCCAGTGTGACAGAAATGACACTTGCAGCTGTCAGGGCTATTGTGTCCAGAGCTCCACCAGTGACAGGAACTGATGAACAGCTGGTTTCAGAGCTTTCTTTGTTCACGGGGAAGCAGGGCATGAAGCACTTCAGGTAGATAGAAGGCTGTGTTTGTCAGACTCCCATGCACTGAGGAAATGCAGGTCCTACGGAGAACTGTGGGAATTTAACAGTCACAGCTGCCTTCCCTGGTGCATGGCTCCTTATCAGTGTCCACAGTGAGGCCACTTATCTCTCCATGTCACTTTCACAGGCCGCTCCCTACAGCAGTCCCAGAATCCCAGGGAAGTAGTGTACCCGATACCTTTCTTCCCTTCATGATGTGGGGTTCTCCTACCCTCTTTCTCCCAGCAGGCTCACCAGGTCAGAATTATCCCAAATGATTTAAAAGAGCATTGGGCCCACTAGGAAAGGGGAGGCAGACCTGGGTCAGAGAAGACTCTAAACATTGGTATTTTTCTGGGTTTATCCAAAGGCACCCCAATACCATACTCTAAAAACCTCTGAAGGACAAGCACAGAATAAGACACCACAAGACCAAGAGACGAATAAACCACAAACACCCAAAAACTTTCTCTAGGACACACACACACACACACACACACACACACACACACACACACACACACACACACACACTTGTAGATTAAACACAATCGAGCCCAGAGAGTCAGGGGAAGTGAACTGTCCTTCTTATACTCAAGCTGGAAGTTTGAAAGACACTAGCTTGCTTAGTCTACACTAGCACCACCCACAAGGACATCTTGTGACAATGGATTCAACATGGGAGCCATTAAGCTCATGTGGCTTTCACACTTAAAATCGGTCTCCTGTAAGGAACAGGCTGAAATA